TTTAGGTGCTCTCACAGCTTGAAAATCACAACTACACGAATCCATGATTGTAATTGCTAGTGGTGCCGCATGCTCTCTCGTACTTGACGTTGTGTTGAATTGTTTTTAACTTTTTGTTTTTTTATTTTATTTAATTTTTTTAAAAGATTTAATTATTTATTTAATGTATGAAATGTATGCGTACTCTATCTGCATGCACACTTTTATGCCAGAAGAGGGCATCAGATCCCACTATAGATGGTTGTGAGCCACCATGTGCTTGCTGGGAATTGAACTCAGGACCTCTGGAAGAGCAGCCAGTGCTCTTAACCGCTGAGCCATCTCTCCAGCCCTTATTTTAAATCCCCCCCCCCCCCCCCAGAGCTGAGAACCGAACCTAAGGCCTTGCGCTTGCTAGGCAAGCGCTCTAACACAGCTAAATCCCCAACCCCTATTTAAAAATTTTTAAAGATTCGTTTACTTTTATTTTATGTGTACGATCCTTTTGTTTGCATGTAGTTGGAGAGGGCTCAGGTCCTCGTGATCTGGGAACTCAGAAGCCAGGTCTAGCTAGGGACTATCCAGGTGGTCCTGGTCTGAAGTCTCCACAACAACTCTGGATGTGTAGCCAGTTTTTTCCATTTCTCAGTTTGCCAGTGACCCTGTCTAACTGCTGACTCTAACCTGTGCTCAGTGGGAGCTGGGGAGAATCTAGTTCAAATCTTGGCACTGGTAGCTGGAAAGCAGGTTGGAGTCTGGGGATGAAGCTAAGTGCTGGTGTGCTTGTCTACGAGGTCCAAGAGTGGAGATCATGCTGTTCCTCGCTCTAGGTCACTCCGTAGTGTGAGAAACAGCGGCTGCAGGCTGTGCCTTGCCTTACATAACTCCATTTTTCAGGCATCCTTTGGCTCCATTCTATGGGTGCAGATGCAGAGGTAGGGCAACTCTGAACCTTGTTGCCCGTGAGGCCACCATCATGAGTCCAGCAATACCCATGAGGCACAGATTTACAAGAACTTATGCCTAAAAGTAAAAACACTTCACTCACACATTTTTCAAAGTTAGGAATGGAAGAGCACATGGGTGTAATTAAATCCTTATCAGTAAAACCAGGCCCAATAACTTATCAAACTCACTAGATGAACCAAACCCTCACCTAGACTATATAAAAAGGACGCCCAATAGGCAACACCAATGACCCCACCCACTTTTCGACTGTTCCTAGGTTTCAGCTTAGCTCAGTCTCCACTACTGGAGTTGCCATCATCTGTCTGTCCATCTGTCCAAATCAGGTCCTTACAGCTCGCCTCCACAGTTGTGAGCCTCTGCAGTGAGACTGGTCCCTTGTGACCGACCCTGTGACTTGGCTCTCTGCCTTTAGCGCCACAGTCGGACTGTGGGTGTTGGTATCTACCACGCGCCATATCTCTGCATCGGTACCAGCTCTCGGCCTCTGCCTCCAGCGAAGCCCCGACTCTGCCGGCCCTTTAACACTTCTTTGGCTATTCTGTATCCCACACAGACAGCAGATATACAATGACACGGTGGTGTGCAGTGTGTGATCTGAGAGTTAGTATTAGCAATTAAAGTCAAAATAAAAGAACTTGTGTTTGCCAACTGTCTGTTACCAAGGGAAATCTAGACTTCCAAGTAGGTTTTGAATTCACTGCTACTCATTAAATTTTGACATTGTGCAAAGACACGAGAGCAAAACACCCACGGGAAGTTGAAAGGGGGCCGTTGGGTGCGGGGCGGGCAGGGCGCTGTTGTTTTCCTAATAAACTCCGGCACGATCTGATGTTCTTTAGTTAAATCATGCACCTGCGCTTCTGTTTTTTTTTTAAAAAGTTGAATGTACGTAGGTAGAATGGTTCCAGTACAGCTTCAGGCTGTTAGTCAGTCGCAAAGGCACGACAGAACAGCCTTGTAGCTACCTTTTAAAAACCCAGCGGGGAGCCGGGCGGTGGTGGCGCACGCCTTTAATCCCAGCACTCGGGAGGCAGAGCCAGGCGGATCTCTGTGAGTTCGAGGCCAGCCTGGACTACCAAGTGAGTTCCAGGAAAGGCGCAAAGCTACACAGAGAAACCCTGTCTCGAAAAACCAAAAAAAAAAAAAAAAACCCAGCGGGGAGACACTTTAAGTCAGCGGTGCCCAAGTAGGGAATGCCAGGAGCCCACGGGGAGGAGCCTGCGCTGCTCGCAGAGGCGGTGGCAGAGGGATGCGCATGCGCGGGTCTTGCGTTGCCTTTCTTCCCGGAAGTGTCCACGGTGGAGCAAACGGCCCCAACTGGAGTTGTTGTCCCGGTTCAGGTCCGCCCTCTGCTGCCCCGCTGCCGGAGGACACCCCTTGCTGTCCTTCGAGGGCCGTCGAGGGTGAGCGTCAGAAGAGGGGGCAGCGACCCGCGGAGGAGAGCCCTGCAGCCAGACCCCGGGGAATAGGAAGCCACGCCCCGGCCTCCGGCTCCAGCGCTGGCAGCGACCGGCAGGGTTCCCGTGCGACTGGAGCAGGAACCCAGGAGTTTTAACGACCTACCCTGCTCGGAAGCAGCAGTTCCAAATGCCCAGTGCCGTGTGTGGCTGTCAGACGAAAGCAAAGAAAAAGCAGATTAAACGTCCCAGTTCGGCACTTTGGGAGATTGAAACCAGAGCCATCGTGTGTGTTAGGCACGCGCTTTGACTCTGAGCTCCAGCCCATTTAATTTAAAAAAAAAAAAATAATAATTTTTTTTCTCACTTTTGAGACTGGGTTTTGCAACATGACCCAGGCTAGCCTGGAGCTTGGCGATCTTGCCACCCTCCTGTCTTGGCCAGGAATAACTGGGATTACAGGCCAGTGCCACCCGTCCCTGCTCACAGTAGGCATTCTCTGTCTCATTCGCCTAGCACCAGTCTCGAACTTGTCAGAGATCGTTTCTCACCAGTTAAAGAGTCCTTGGACACTACAGTGTGTCTGGTTTTTTGTTTTTTGTTTGTTTGTTTGTTTTTGGATGCATAGCCTCCTCTGCCCATGCATGGCCTTTTAACTTCAGAAAAGAGGAGAGGAGAGGAAGAGTATATAGATTAATGTCGGCACAGGTTGCAAAATGTGAAGGCGCAAGAGGGAAATGTGCAGAGAACTTTGAAAGGACTGTGAAGGTTTGGACCTTTTTTTCGATGCTAGAAATTGAACCCAGGGTCTTGCGCACGCCAAGCATTTACTCCACCACTCAGCTATATCTTAGCCCCAGCGTTATCTTACATGGGTAGTGGAATTTAAGCAGGGGGGTGGAGTGCAACTGGTAAAGCTGCTTGCTGCTAAAACTGAAACCTGACTCAATTCTCAGAACCCACGCGGCGGGAAGAGAACTGATAGCTGCAGATTGTCACTGACCTCCGTACATGCTCCTTGGTGCGGGTGCAACACACAATAATTAATCAGTTGAAGTGGAAGTATGCACTGTACAGTGATACCTATTTTATATGAAATCTACCTTCATATAACATCTTTCTGAGTGTTTATAAAGATGCCAGTCTTATGTGTAAAATGCTGATTGGCATGTTCATGAAAGAAAAAAGGAAGAAAAACTTCTATTCATGCTGGGGATGGAACCAGTGCTCTACTGTTGAGCTGTAGCTTATCCCCAGGTTAGTGGTGGTTGATTGTTTTGTTTGTTTGAGGTAAGGTCTCTCTGTGTTGCCCTGGCTATCCTGTAACTCTATGTCTAGACAAAGCTGGCCTTGAACTCACAGAGCTCTGCCTGGCTCTGCCTCCCGAGTGCTGGAATTAAAGGCGTGTGCCACCACCACCCGGCCGATGACCTTGAGCTTCTAATCCTGCTGCTTCCACCTCCCATTCCAGACGTGTATCATTACACCTCCTTTACACTGAACTCGAGACAGAAGCCAGGGCCTCGTGCCTGTCAGGAAAGCATTCACCCAACTGAGCCACAGCCCTCCAGGCAAGCTTGTAAGAGAATTTAGTAATCAGAATGCTCCCTAAATCATACAGACTTCAGGACAGATAACATAGCCCAAACTCCAGGGCCTGCATTATCATTTATTGGGACGGCCTCTTCTACTTGTGGGACTGATACTTTGCTCCCTGTTTTTAAGCACGGTTCCTCAACTATAAAGTGCAAGGCTGGGCATGGTGGCTCAGGCCTGTGATTCCCCACCCCCCCACTCCCACTGACCCCCACCCCCCACCCCACCCCCGCAGTTGGAAAGCTGGGGTAGGTAGGAGGGTCATGATTTTTGAGGTTATCTTGGCCTCTTACAGTCCCTGATTTTTTTTTTTTAAGAAAATCATGTGTGCCTTCATAGCTTTCCCAATTGATTTTTCCCTAAGAAGGGCTAACAGTGTGGACTGATCACTATTTGTACACATATGTTTAAGGTATTTGGAGAACAGCCTCAGGAAAGACTTCCTTCCCTCAGGTCCATCCATTTCTTCTCCTTTTAGCCCTGGAATCAGATATCTCCCTTAGCCACTTTCAAGGACTAACAGGAATAACAGTCCAGACCACCACATAATAAGTCTCCCAAATGAAGGTAAATTCCACAAGGAGACACCAGACACCGCCTAGGTCAGGTGGACTTTAAGCAATAGCTTCTCACAATTTAGCTCAGACCTTCCTTTTCTTACAGCCTTGCTAACTTTATAGACTGCTAACTCCTTACCTAACCACTTCTAGGAATATTTAGATAACCTTCTGTGCTGACAGCTATGCTCAGCCAGAACCCCAGTTCAAGCCTCCCTGCAATTATCATCATTAGCAGCATCCGGCCAGGTCCATCCCCAGATGGAGGAAAGTATCTTATCAGAGATACCTCTGTACTAAGAAGACTTAAGCATCCAGACTACCTGTTTGAGAAGTCCTGCTAATTAAGCTTAACTTTCTCCTTTCCCAAATCTTACTTCTAGTTCCAGATCTCCCTTTAACTATCACCAGAGGCATCTAACTGTACACAGGTTGCCTAGCGACCAAGCACACTTTCCCCCACCCTGCAGAAAAACAGCAGATAGCTTGGACAGATAGGAGCCACAGGAAAAAAGAAGGCAGTTTTATTTTCACCCATTGATCTAGTGACTTATAGATTCTTAACATTTCCTTCTGATCACGTTTAAGATTATAGTTGAACACATAAGAGCTCTCTTCTTAGATATTACCCGAATTTAGCCCTTAGTTAATTCATTTCCCCATTGGTCACTTCCCTTTGGGGTTGCCAATGATAATTAACAATTACTGCCCCTCTATGTGATTCTTATCACCCCTCCATTTGGCCCTGGAAGCCTGGCTTTGCACTGCCAAGGGATTACTGCTTGTAAGTGTATATATACCAGGATTCCCAGTGCATGGGAAGAATAAATAATTGGACTAAGAGCTCGGTATACTTAGATTCTTTTCCCGAAAATAATTCTCGCTGTTCGTAGTTTTCTCTTCTGAGCCCCTGGGAAGTATAATATTGAGGCTGGTCCTTTTAATATTTTACAAGAGATCTCAACCTTCCCTGCCTCAGGTTTGCTATGATCTAGGCTGGAATGTTCCGCTTCTCCCCATCCCATGGTCCTCTTCCCTCAGAGTGGTTTCAGTGGTGACGACTCCAAAGCAAAGCTCCCTCACAGGAAAACCAAGGACTCCAAGCAGATAACGTGGCTTTGAATGCTAGTTTAGAGGTCACCCAGGGAGTTGGGCACTATGCAGAATCCTGCACAACCAACCAGCTTCCACCTCACCCCATTCTTCACACTGTTGGGACTTGCGCCGCCCCTTAGGAGAAACGGGGCAGCTGCGGCTGAGTCACAGGCGGTCCCGGGCCAGCTCGGAGCAGAGCTGTGCTTCTTGGCATTCCTCCCAGTTCCCCTTGTGGCAGACGACTTATCCCTGCCCTCCACCGTGAGAAGTTTTCATGCATTCAACCACATTTTATTCACTCTAGCGTTTGCTCCTGGCTGGCCCCATCTCCTTCATTCTTCCCCTCACTCCTGGTCACAGTATTGAGGTCATCCTCCGACAGCCTGGCCATACTTGAAGCCACACTTTGTATGGTGCCCTTATCCTTGGCACGCTTTCTGTTACCTCCTAGAGCATGGATGACCCCATAATGTGCAAACCCAGCCTCGGCACATACTCTGCCAAGCTGGAGGGAATCCTGTTACCAAGATCAGTTATTGGTTACCCTTGCCCTCCCAGTGATCTTCCAAATATTCGGCTGACCAGGCAGTCTTACATAAGGTGCAGCAGTTATGTTAGTTCTTGTGCCCGGGTCCCCTAGCTGACGGACGCACTCTTTCATCTGGGCTGACTTGAGTCTTGAAGAATGTGTTCTGTTGAGACCCAAATAGTAGCTCTTGGTGAGTTCGATCCTGTTATTAAGCAAACAATATCTATGCTTGAATCTCATGGGAACAGATCCCATGTCCTTTGGGAGAAAGCTTATCTTTACATATGGGGTTCATCTGTGAACTTGTCATCGTGAGGGTCAACTTGGCATGTGCAGATCTGTCCACAGACCCCACAGCTCCAATGTTGAGCCATGGGGTAGACTAGCCAAGCTGAGTGACAGCTCGGGGTTCCTCCCTCCTTGGGAAGCTTCTGCAGCAGCTCCCACGTCTGCCATGGGTGGCACTGTAGGTTGGCGTCCATCTTGTCACTGACAGATGCCTGACCTTGAGTTCTGCACTGGTGGACTGGCTCCTGGAGATGTCAGTCATTGGAGGTCAAGTCCACTGGGCTCAGAGAGCCCCTGCGCATCTGTGATCTAAGGAGCCCCACGTTGTCCTTGTTCCTTTCAAGGTTGACATCTTCAGGGTCCCACTGTGGAAAAAAGATGGAAAAGGTATCTTGGTGTGACAGATCCTTTCCAACGGTTCAAGCCCAGCCACCCCCCAGATGACAGCCCAATCCTGGGTCTCGGGACCCAAGCAAAGACAAGGGAAAGTCAGTCAGTAAGTACAAGCTAGTCAGGCCTGTGTTCACGGGTCTAGAGAGAGAACATAGCTTTATTAACTTCAGAGGTGCTGGGGATGGAACCCAGGGCCCAGAGCATGCTAGGCAAGTGTTCTACCACTGAGCTATGTCTTCTGCCCTCACACTGGCATCACGTCCTCACACAGCGCAGCTTTAAATCAAGGAAAGAAAGAACAGCCACCCTGAGCAGACTAGGCCCGCATCCCTTTCCATTTCCTCCATTCCTTCCCTCACCAAGCCTTGTCCCGAAATCTCCTTGATGTGTAACACTCCTGGAAAAGAGCAGATAAACTCAACTCTCTTTCCAGCCCAAGGAAACGGTTTGTCTGGCGTCATTCTCTGAAGCGGCCGTCCAGTGGGCTCTCACCCCGCATTGCACTAGGGATTACCTCCACCGCTCATTTGCATCTGCACCTGGACAACACTAATCTTTCCTTGAACATCTGCCTGGCCCTCCTGGAGATGGTGAGTTCCTGAAGGGCAGAGCACAGCTGTGCCTTTACCACCAACCCCCCCACCCCCGCCCTGTACTCTTTCAGCTCGAGGCTCAGTGGACATGTCTAAAGTAAACTCTTAAAAGCCAGCTCAGGGCCAGTGAGAGAGCTCAGCCGGAAGAGCCCTGGCTGCTCTTCCAGAGGACCCAGGTTCAGTTCCTATCACCTACATTGCGACTCACAACCATCCGTAACTCTAATTCCAGAGTGTGATCCCCTTTTCTGGCTGCTGCTTGCATATGGTGCACAGACATACATGCAGGTAAAAATTTTCCATACACATAAAATAAAAATAAATATTTTTTTTAAAAAACCACTTCACCACTTGAGGGCCAGTGAGGTGGCTCAGTCGGTAAAAGGTGCTTGCTGCAAAGTCCTACAGTCCAGGTTCGATCCCTGAGACCCACACGATGGAGGGAGAGGACTGATTCCTGGACGTTGTCCTCTGATCGCCACTGGTGAGCTGTCACACACACACACACACACACACACACACACACACTTAAAAAAAAAAGCCAATTCAGCATGGTGTCATCGTGGACTCCAACAAGAATGGCAACGAACTCGGCAAAGGTTTGAGAGGAGTGATTGGAAATGGGCCTGTCGGTGTAGATGGAGTTGTCTGCAAAGCACTCTTCAAAGATGACGGAGCAGAGAGTGAATCCTGCGCGTGGTTTAAGATTAAGGATTTTGTCGCTGGGCATGGTGGCACACCCCTCTTATTCCAGCATGGCAGAGGCAGAGAGGCAGAGGAAGGCAAATTTCTGTGAGTTTGAGGCCAGCCTACATAGACATCTACATGGAGTGTTTCAGGACAATCAGGACTATACTGTGAAAGACTGTCACAGAAATACAAAACAAAGCCCGGTGGTGGTGGTGGCGGCGGTGGCGGCGGCACACACCTTTAATCCTAGCACTTAAGAGGTAGAGGCAGGTGGATCTCTACTTCGAGGCCAGCCTGGTCTACATAATGAGTTCCAGGACAGCCAAGGATACACAGAGAAACCCTGTCTCAAAACCAACCAGACAAACAAAAACGAACAGACAAAACAACGACAAAAACCCAGATACAAGCGATGATCATGGGAGCTATGTTAGCTTGGGCCGAAAGACCTATCTGGGTAGGATCCCAGACCCAGACACACACATGCACTCAGAGAAAGACACTTGATCATCACCCGAGCAAACTGAGCTCACAGCTCAGTTCTGAGAAGTCCCACATAAAACCTTCAAGGTTCTCATGTGATGCCCACAGCATATCAGCTCTAAAACACAAATTTCCACTCTGTTTTGAAAAAAGAACCTAATTCAATTAATGATTCACCCATATAACTGAACCAAGTTCTACTCGGTGATTAAAAACTCCACAGTGGGCTGACAGATGGCTCAGTGGTTAAAAGTGCTTTTTGCACAACCACAGGGACCTGAGTTTGGAACCCTGTAACCCCGGTGATGTGAGGGGTAGAGATAGGAAGATTGCTGGGCTTGCTGCCTGCAAGTCTAGCCGAAAATGACAAGGTTTAGGTTTATGGAGAGACCCTGCCTCAAAAGAATAAGGTGGAGAGTAATAAAGGAAGACACTCTGGAGGACGGACGCTCTGCTTTGGTCTCCACGAGTGGGTGATGTTCTGTAGCAACCTACACACACACACGTGTACACACACACACCTTGTTAAAAAGACCACTGCAGCCCAGTGACACTGCAGACCTGGCCCTGAGGTAACTTGGTCCATGCAGCTCAGTCTTCTGCACCTGTCTGGGTTGTGCAAACTTCTTGTGTAGTTGTGGCTGCAGACTTGGCACCTCTAACCAAACTCTTTCCCGACATCAAAGATTCTACATAAAATAACTCAGTGGCCCTTAGCCTCAGAGCCATGTGCACAGTGGCGGGAACAGGGGCCTGTTCTGTCCTCTGTGGATGGCCAGGGCACTCTTCACGAATACTGTTGGCAAGCACAGACAGACCCAGGTCCTAGATCAGATGTCTCTGAACATGCTCTGGATTAACAATGACAGAGGCACCATGCCAGTGGTCACTGGGCTGACGCCAGGGGCTCTGCGGCCACTGCTGGGTGGGTGAGACATACAGTTTGACATCTTAACGAGTAGTCACTACGGTTCTTGTTAGATGCTCTGATGTTCGGAAGCCACTGTTCCAACTCCTCGAATGCTTCGGAAGTTATTCTTGCTAGCCCTGATGGAGTCACCTGCCCATGAGCAGAAACAGTCTGGCACTTTGAACAGGTGAGCCCTTTAATGTAGATTACATCTTAGAAGGCATTTAAAGTCTTCAGAATCTATAGGATAATGTGCTGACATCTAGAAATCTATAGGATAATGTGCTCAGATGCTTTGAGCAATAATAAAAAAACATAATTAGAAGGCATAAAGCTGGGGGGTAGTGGTGTACACCTTTAATCCCAGCACTCGGGGAGGGGGGGCAGAGGCAGGTGGATCTCTGTGAGTTCTAGGCCAGCCTGGTCTACAAAGTGAGTTCCAGGAAGCCAGGGCTACAGAGAGAAACCCTGTCTCAAAAAGAAAAGAAAAAGAAAAAAAAGAAAAAAAGGCATAAAATCAATTGTGTGAGAGATGATGCATTCTGTGTCACAAACAATCCTGGCTGATGACAGGCACAGGTAACTGTCACCAAACATGCCTGCCTGTCATTGCAAGTGAGGAGACTGCCAGCTGCAGGAGGTCTCAGAAAGACAACCGCACCGTGTGAGGCTGTTTCTCATCACAACTGCTGCAGCCACACCCCACATACCACATGTGACCTGCAGCCACCCCACGGCTCACAGACCCGGCCGGCCGGACTGTGTTTCTTCACTGGGCTACACTGAGTTCTTCCCAAGCTGAGCCAATTGGCTCTGAATACTTCCCAGTGCAGAAAAGACCTTGGAAAGAGAGTCCCCAAACTCCAGGGATCCCAGGCTTGCCTCCTGATCTTTATTTCTTATGTATTTACTTTGCAGTGTTTGGGAGGGAGCTGTACGGGCAGGCCTTCTACTGAGCTACACCTCCAGCCCGCATTCCTTTCTCTTTTTTAAAGATGTATTTATTTACCATGTATATAGTATGCCTGTACACCAGAAGAAGGCACCAGATCTCATTACAGATGGTTGTGAGCCATCATGTGGGTGCTGGGAATTGAACTCAGGACCTCTGGAAGGCTGGAAGAGCAGCCAGTGCTCCTAACCCCTGCGCCATCTCTCCAGCCCTCCTTTTTTTTTTTTTTCCCAAACTAAAAAACTGTCATGTCCTCCATCCAAGGGGGTTCAAACAGAAACAGAAATGGAAAAATCAAGCCATGGAAGTCCCTCCCGAAAGAGCCCAAACGCTTGTCCATACCTGCTCCGAGTTTAGGGCTTCCCAATACTTCTGCTGTAGGATAAAAAGAGAGACAGAGAGTGTTGGACGGATCTCGCCCCCGGGGCCACAGAGGAGAGCTCAGAGTCAGCCCATGTGCTCGGTGAGCCAGCCGGGAGTCAGAGCCTTGGATGGCTGGGGGTGGGAGTTGGGGGCGGGACAACATTCCAGCAAGCAGGAAGGCAGTCGCTATTAGCAGAGTAATTAATTTAGTAAGTTAGTTAAATGATCAAAATAAAATAAACCCACCATGGTTACGCAGGGCTTTGGGTTCTGGGAGAAATGACTCTCAGGCACTTCACAATTACTATAATTAGAAATTACGGGCGGTAGCAGCAGTTCTAATAACAGTAATAATAACAGTAAATCTTCTACTTATTAACCACATAGCTGAGATTACCCAATGCAAACTCATAAAACTTGTAAGAAAGAGGTGCAAATAAAATCTCCACCTTGAAATACGGGGTTTGCCAAGCAGCTTACATTCATTTTTACTCAGCATTTACTGCATGGTTGGTTCCACTCCAAGCCTCAAATATGCCTGACTCAAGATCCTGGACGAGTGAGTGCGGACTGTCTGCATCGGTCCTCCAGCTCTTCACTCCGTGCCTGGGAGACATGCATTTCTGACCCAGGCAGGAGCTAGGAGTCTATGCTGATAGGCTGTTCGTGGACGTCTATGACACGACCTAGCAGCCATCAAAAACAAAGCTTCTACTGTTCAAGTCTTTTATTGACTTGTTTCTTGAGACAGTGTCTCATGTAGCTGAGGCTGGCCTCCACCTCACTGCCTAGCTGAGGCTAGCCTTGATCCTCCTCCCTCCACCTCCCAAATGCTGGACTACCAGCCTGTGACGACATGCCTGGACTGTTTGACTCTCTAAATGCTCATTTTTAAATGCTTTAAGTGTAGGGTTTGTAGTCATACACAAAAACAAAAGAATAATGAAGGCCAGTGTGAGCCTGCTCACCTAGCTCCTAATTTGGTATTTTAAAGTAAATCATTTTATTTGCAAATCACTTAGAAGGCTTCCATAGATAAATCCTAAATTGTAATATTATGACTAAACCTAATACAATCTCCACATAGCCCCAGCTAACCTCTGTGCAGAATCCTTAACATTCATTTTATTTTGCAGGGGCGGGGGTACTTATCCTGAAACCCAGGGCATCATGCATGTGAAGCCTGAATTTTCTTTTCTTTCTTTCTTTCTTTTTGTCTTTTTTGAGATAAGTTCTCATATTGTAGTTCAGGCTAGCCTTGAACATGTGGCAGTCTCAAGAACTGGGGTTTTACACCAAACCTGGCCTAGCTGCCATGCATCTTTTTATTTTCAATTAAGTAATCAATTTTGTGTAATAGGCTCTCAGTGTGTAGCAGAAGCTGGCAGGAAACATGTCATCCTCCTGCCTCAGCCTCTCCCAGTACTGGGAATACAGGCATGGACCACTACAATTGGCTAGCATTCATCTTCCTTTTTAAGTTGGAATACATATGTATCATTGTTGCTCATATTTGTCCCCGGGTATCTTCCCCTGCCTTCTCCCTGCTGGCGTTCATCTTTTCCCCCTCTAAGTGGAGAGGAAACATTCAGAAGCGAATCGATAGCACAGATATGCTGCAGCCAGCCGGGCAGGGGCCTCCCCGGGATGAGGGCCCTCAGCCCCACCCATCTCTTACTGACATTCTTCTGGTGGAAACATAAATAGAAAAATTCATTAGAAAAGGTACAGATTACTAAATTGATATAACGCAAGGGCTGAAAAAGCTCCATGATCTTTAAAGTGTGATGGAAGTAAGAAGAGATTTTAATTCAAAAGCACTTTGCTTTTCCTTAGAAAAACATAAGACATCCACCCAAAATGTAAATGGCAACTTGCGGTGTTAACAGTTCGTGGGCACTCGGTTCTTTAAGGACTGTTTCAGAGCACAGTGCACTGTGCTGGACCATATCCAGCTGGTGAGAAACTGCCGAGATCCAAGCCGAGCCTGGAGTCCAGCTGTAGAAATACACTCGGCTCGTTTCTTAGCTTTGCTAAATGTAGCGTGTTACGTAAGACGTGAAAAGAGGTAGCTGGGCCAAAAAGGGCAAACAGGAAATTTGTACTAATTTTGAAAAAAAAATCTGTACATCCAAAATTATTCCAAAATGAAAAGTTTATTTAAAGTCAAGCAAACCAGTAAGCAGGCTCGAATCTCCCAGCTGCGTGAAATGAAACCTGGACAGTCATTCCAAGAGCCAACACCAGGGACAGCGTGAGAGTTAACAAGAGCGCCCTCTGCTGGAAGGAGTAGTTAGTTTTTTTTGTTTTTTGGGGAGTTTTTTGTTTTGTTTTTTAGACAGGGTCTATGTGTAGATCAAACAAACTTCAATCCGGCACTTCTCCTGCCTCTGCCTGTAGTGCTGGGATTACAAGCATGTACCACCACCGGACCTGGCTTTTAAGCTATTATTTTAAGTCTATGATGACATCGTAAGCCCAGTTAACTCAAATCTTTATAACAGAAGTCTCTCCTCCCAAAAGACTAACAATAAATAAAATGTTTTAGATCTTTTCCCTGTTTCAAACAACAACAAAAGAAAAAAAAAACATTTTTTTTCCTCACAGAAAAAGATTCAGAAAATAACATCCCAGCTAGTACTGGGGAGGTGAGGCAGGAGAATCTGAAGTCTTCAAGGCCAGCCTCAGCTACCTATAGGTGTGAAGCTAGCTTAGGCTACATAGGACTCCAAAAAAAAAAAAAGACTCATATACACACACACACACACACACACACACACACACACACACACACACACACACACACATACACACACACACACACACACACACACACACACACACACTGGGGACTGGAGAGACGGCTCAGCAGTTAAGAACACTGGCTGCTCCTCTAGAAGACCCAGGTTGGATTCTCAGCACCCACATGATGGTTCACTCTAATTCCAGGGCATACAGTGCCCTCTCCTGGCCTCTTCAGGCACTGCATGCACGTGGTACACAGACACACAGGCAGGAAAACATTCATACACATCAAACAAAAGTAAGTGTTCAAAAGTACACACATACACACGTACACAATCTATATCTATTCTATCCTTGGGGGATTTTTCTCTCTGAACAGTTATAGAATAACCTCCTGAGAACAATTATCCCAGCCATGCTGTGTGTATAATGACGCCGTACGTATACACTATGTACACTGCAATAAGATCAAATTGTGCAAAGACTTTTTTCCCTTCTACACACGATAAACATGTCCACAGTCCTTATCCTGTGGGACAGGATTGTGACATGTCCCTCAAGCCAGCCACCAGCTCCCAAGATGTGGCCACCATAGCTGGCTCCATGCATTCCTAAGTCATTTTCAGGGCCATGATTCTGTCCCCTGTGTGAACCACAGCACACAGTGTCTCAGTCCACGAGCTTCCTGAAGCATGCTTTCTCATGCTTCTGAAACATGTGCTAGTTCCTGTCTACACAGCGTGTGGCAATATTTCTTCCATTCCTGAGGAAGTGAAGGGGTGTGTGTGGGGGGGGGGGGGGTTGAGCATTGATGAAATAAGGCCACATTCTAGGTTTAAGCTACAGACCGTGGGAACTGGAAACACTCTTGGAGACCATCTATCCAACTACTTCCTCCTATATTTGGGGAGAAGCGACTGTCCCCGAGACCAGGGACATAAGATGGGTACTAGACTTGGCAGGGTTCACATTTTCAGAGTGGCCAGAGAGAGACACAATAGGTACCATCTCTCCTAGACTGTATTAAATGGGCTCAAACGGAAGCCCGGGTGGTCAGTGACAGATTCAAGCCAGGGGATGGGGGAAGGGCACTCGGTAGCAGTCAGAGAAGAGGAGCTGGACAGGGACAGAGGCATCCCAAGAGGGAGGAGAGATGCCCTGAATGAGGCATCCCAAGAGGGAGGAGAGATGCCCTGGATGCCCGAGTTGAATGCCATCAAGTATGTGAATGATGCCAGCTTAGAGACGGGAGAGGTGAGGCCTGACTCTGACCCCCACGCTTGCCTCTGAAGGCATCTGCAGAAGACCTGAGTCACTGTGGCCGAGAGGCACTGTAGTTGCCTGTCTGCGGGCAGGTTCGGGCCAGCCCCTCTGTCCTCATGTATTTTTCCTTCAAATGCCTACGCTCGGAAAATGTTTGCTGGATGACTGACCAGATGCCGAGGTGAGGTATGGGGTTACATCATCTGCTAACAGACACCTTCCTGATCTCACTTAGTAGCAAACAAACCAAGACCTTCAAGGAACGTGGCTCCAAAACCAACGGCACGGAGGCGGTGACCGTTGGTTAGTGAGCCAGGGGGTTGATTTTCATTTTCTTCCTCTGCTCTCTTTATGCTTTCTGAATTTTCTGCCCCCAAATGTGCATTCCATGGCATCTCATTGCAGCAGGCAGGCATGGTGTTGGAGCGGTAGCTGAGAGCCCACATCCTGAGGCAAAATCATGAGGCAGAGGGAGACACAAGCCCACCCCCAGAGACACACCTCCTCCAACAAGGCCTCACTCCTTAACCCTTCCCAAATGGTTCCACCAACTGGGAGCCAAGCATTCAAATATATGACCCTATGGGGACCATTCTCATTGAGACCAGCATAGTCACGAATACTGTACGAGTTTTTAAAAGACGTAGGTCTGCTTGGCTCAACAGCAGGGTGCTTTTGCAGGCTGGTCAAGACGTGGGGTTCAGTCCCCAGCAATAAACAAAACCATACAGAAATAGAAAGGATAAGAGTTTTGTTTGTTTGTTTTATTTCCAAGACAGAGTTTCTCTGTGTAGCCCTGGCTATCCTGGAATTTGCTCTGTAGACCAGGCTGGCCTCGAACTCAGAGGTCATGAACTTAAAGGCATGTGCCGCCACCATCCAGCTTATACATTTACCTTTTAATGAGGGGAGACACAGCCAGAGCTGCTTGCTTAGTTTGGGCTCTAGGATTCACATATGTTTAACTTCTGGCTTTGTGTTGAGACAGGGTCTCACTGTGTAGTCCAGGCTGGTCTTAAACTTTCAGTGATCCTCTAGTGTTAGCTGCCAGAGTGCTGGGATTACAGGTATGAGACACCCGAACAGCAAGGATGCACATATTTTTAAATAATGGACTTCTGAAAACTGTGAGACTATAATTGGGGGAAGAATAAGGACCGCAGAGCAGAGACACGGCCCGGACTAACTACAGGGGCAGGCTCCAGCAATGTTCAAGACGGATGCCAAGTGCTTTTGGGGGGTGGGGGAGGAGATGTCATCATTTCCACAAAGTAAATATTCCCCTCCTCCCCCATGGGCCCTCCTGTCCCTGCTCTGCCCTGGGCTCACTCTGTAGTCCCTTTAGCTACAGACCTCAGTGGAGACTGCCAGCTCCAGGCTGCTTGGTGTCGCAAATACTCTCACACTCGGTTTAGGAAAATGGCCCCAGCAGGTGCACAATTCCTAACTCCAACCCAGCTCTCAAACGCCAGCTGTTCTAAGAGTGAGGGACGAGCAACGCACCCACACTCATCAGGCCATGGCCACCTGTGGAGGTGGGCAGGAAAATGGGCTCTGGGCAGCAGGGAGGGAGCCACTGGTCCTGGGGTGAGGGTTCACGGAAGTAGGCTTCTGGGTAGAATTCTGGCCCATGGAAATGGGGCTAGAGGGAACCCAGGAAGAAAGGTCCAGAGGCCTGGGACAGGGGAGAGGATGGCCAGGACAGAACACTAGCTATGAGCAGAAATAGTGCACAGGCTGGAAACGTCTGGAATATCACACTACAGAATCTGGTTTACCTCACAGTCAGAAGTTCTGAGTTTTGGATTTCAGGGTACAGTATAAGCCTGACTAATTTTTAGACTCTGAGAACATAATTATTTTGCCAAATAAGGGCACTGAAAATCAAACCAAACCCAAGCCATGACTCAACATTACTTACTGCTTACAACTATCATTCCACAAACGGGCATTCAGCACCCAAAAGGCTAGGGCACAGAACTCAGCCATTCCTCCACCAAAAAAGCCAGATGGCATCCTTCTCCGACATACATGTGACCCCTATGTCGTCCTTGCTCTCCTCTGTCCTCGGACAAATGGAAACTCCCTTGTTCAATGTGGTTGGGAACCGCAGCTACTAGAACCCGGAGCGACAGGACACACTTGAGAGTTATACCTGTTTGTGCATCCCTGGTGTGACATGCATTGCATTCAGATACACAGTGAGGTGGAGGCTAGGCTTGCTGCTTCCCATAGATCCTGCCTGTGTGGGCCAGCGCCAGTATCACAGGTTCCTGCTCCTTGGGGTAAAGAAACTCTTCTATGGTCAGATGAGTGGGGGAAACACTGACACCAGCCTTCCTTCTCTCTCCCTCTCTCCTTTCCTTCTAACAGGTTCTTATATAGCCCGGGCTGGCTTCGAACTCATGATCCTCATGCCTCAGCCGCCTGCGCGCTGGGGTTACAGCCTAAGCCATCAATCCTAAACCACTACACAGGCTTTTAAGAGATTTATTATTCTTGCTTTTTTTTTTTTTTCTGTAGGAAGGACCCGAATACCTAAGTAGTCTATGTGAACTGGACCCCAGCATCCAGGATTCCCTTGCCAGCCCAACCATGAAATTGCTGGAGTCCTGTCCTAGTTTTGAGAAGCTTCCCCATAGACCGTGGGAGCCGTGTGGCGCTTCACTCATGATTAGCGGTTTTGAGGTTAACAAGGCAGTGTTAGAAAGCAGGTCAATCTCAAGGAGGCCCCAGCAGGTGTTGGTAGGTGACACACCCATGCACACTCCCACCCCCACTCCCCGGGCAGGCCCTGTACCTCCAGGTCGGAGTTGATGGAGGAGACCTCGGAGGAGCTGCTGGAAGACACTCTGGCCTGGATGACCTGGATGGGAGGGTATGAGGGAGGCTCCTGCAAGGAGGGATCTCCGGTGCTCGTCTGCCCATCACCGGGTAGCCTGGTGGCACTACAGCCTGCCTGCAAGGAGCGAAGGAAAGGGTGAGCAGGGACACTTGATTTAATTCCCTTTTTAGCCCTCACTTTAGTATTCCAAAGGCACGCATGTGTGTGGTGCAGTGTTCCTGAATTCCACAAACAGTAGCACACTCCACAGTCTCTTACACATTTTACGTTCACTTAATGATATGCCTTGGATATAGTTCCATATGACAAGCTATGGGGTTTGTTAAGAGTGGCATTATAGACGTTAGGAGTCCATTTAACCAATCCCTCACTGACGGGTACTCAGGGTTTTGAAATCTCTTGCTTTTCCGGTCTGTGCGGACTCCAGTAAGTCACACCAGTGCAGTGGTTTGCATGAGATGTTCCTCGGAGTCTCAGGCTTTTGAATATTAGGTCCCTCGTTGGTGACACTGGGCAGTCCAGGAGTCGTGGCGTCGTTGGAGGCAGTACATCTGTGGCGGGGAGCTTGGGTACGTTAAGATTCATGCCATTGACAGCTGGTTCTCTCTCCTTTGTGTTTGCAGTTCCGGGTGTGAGCTCTCCGTTTCCAGGGGCCAGCTCCAGCTACCATGCTGCCCTCCCCAATACGGACTCTCACTCTCTGGAACTGCAAGCGTAAACACACCCTTCATTCTATCAGCGGCCTTGGTCGTGGTGTTTTCTCGAAGCAACAGAAAAACATAACAAACCCAGCCAGACATCTCGGACTTCTGGGTACTCAGAGAATCTCTAGGAATTTCTGGGTGAAAGGGGGTGTCCATTTGTAACCTGGACAGCTGCAACACATCCCGTTTGAGGATTTACCGACTCACACCCGAGCAGCATGTGAAGGGATGGCGGGAGGCTTGGGAGACACCGGAGGAAGGTCTGTGGCCTGGGATCTATCCATCATCTATCTGCAACCTCCCTAGCCCATCCATCTATCCCCACACAGAGCACAGCAACTCCGGGAGAGTCTCCCTAGCGATCAGAAAAGCTCCATCTGCTGGACTTTCAGAACCATGCAGCATTCTGGGCTTCGGCCAGGGTGTGGAGGATGCCCTCAATCCCAGCACCAGGGAAGCGGAGGCAGGAGGATCAGGAGTTCCAGATCATCCTCATCTGCATAATGAGTTCCAGGGCAGCCTGGCTTACAAGAGAGTCTCCCTTTGAATAACAGCAACAATAATAAATAGGATCGGGTTGTGATGGCAAAGTTGGTAGGATATACTGAAGAGGAACTGCCAGGAGGATTGTGAGTTCAAGGCCAGCCTGGGCTGCACATGGGGTCTGGCAACACGACTCAACAGGTAAGGGTCCCCCAGAAGCCACATGGTGGAAAGGACAGAAGTGATTCCTCTATGCCGTGTGCCCGACGATGACAACCGCAATGACAAAGGTCATCTTGTGCTAACTGACTGCATCACCGCCAAAGGCAATGTGTCCCCTTCGGGTCTCGGTTTCGCAGCCAAATCAACGAGGTTGGTGGTTCTCAGCAACAACAAAGGGACCTGATGCAAAGGCTCTGGCCCCAATAATGAGGGCTCAGTCCTAGGCGGTCGGCGTACACCATTCCACGTGCGTCAGTGGGACCGGTGGAGAAGCCCACCAGGGGGCAAAGGCGGTGTTCCGGAGGCAGCCCTGGAACCCGGGTAAGGTACCACCCTGCTGCCCCCAGGAGGAGGGAGCTGCAATAGAAACCCGTGGGTGGAGCGGGGAAGCAGGTGGCTCCTAGGCAACAGAACAAATCCTAAAATTTCCCGGGGCAGATTATACACCCCAATCAATAGATGAGCAAGGGGTTTCAAACCTGCCCATTGAGGGTGGAGCTGTTGGTCCGCGTGGCCTCGGCCCTTCTCGCCCTCTGGTGGGCACAGGTGGAAGAGGCTGGGTGAACGGCCCTGGTGGTTGGTTGGGCTTGGTGGGGGGAGAAGGAGGGAGTCGCACGCCCCTCGCGCGTGGGTAGGGGTTGCGGACACGGGGTCATAGGGAGGGCAGTTCCCTAGAATCGACCATACGACCCTGAGGCATGAAGTGGCTGAAGGTGAACACAGTTCCACACTATTTTCTTTTCTGTAGTGCTGGCGATGGAACCCAGGGCAGAAGCGAGTCACAGCCCAGATCCCACCCCAGAGAGGCTTCGGACATTTTTTTTTTTTTCCTTAGTGCTGTGATTCAAAAATCATCGCTCCCGAGGGCCCCTCCCTCCTCCCCTCCCTCCTCCCCTCCCACCCCTCTGCTTCCCCCTGGCCAGAAGAATGCTTTCATGGCTGAAGTGGGCTCTTCACTGTACACTGGTGCATTGATTCTCTCTGAACTTCATCACAAGCAGAAGGAGTCACCAACCAGGAACCCGGCAAAGGGTCAAGCCTAGCTGTCAGGTGCCAAGTCCTCTGAGCACCCGTGTCCACCACATAGTGGCACAGGGGCCACACCACTGAGCTACATGGTCAGTGTGGGCCCATGACCTGCACGTTATAGGCTCTTACAGGAGAAAGCCAGGCGAGAGAAGGCCAGGGCAGAAAAGTAAAAACAGTGACCAGGGCTTTGCTGAGAACCCCCAGAGCGAAGAGAATTATGGGAGAGGACAGGCTGGAAGGCAGGGAGCACTGAGCAGGTTGTGAATGGAAGGAACGGGCCAGGACCTGGGAGGCCTGGAGTCCCTGGAAGGAGTTTAGATTTTATTTTGTGTGAAAGAGAAAGCCAGAGAAGTGTTTTAAACAAAGACAGGTTAAGATGTAAGTTATGGGGGCTGGAGAGATGGCTCAGTAGTTAAGGGTACTTGTTGCTTTTGCAGGGGACGCAGGTTCAGATCCCAGCACCTGCATGGTGGCTCATCACTGCCCCATAACTCCAGCTCCAAGGGGATCTGACACCCTTTTCTGACCTCATAGGCTCCTGCACACATGTGGTGCATGTACATACCTCAGATGCACACACACACACACACACACACACACACACACACACATAAAATAATGAATAAAATTCAAAGATGTAAGTTATGTCTGTAAAGAGCTTTCCTGCCTGGTCTGTTGGCACACACCTACAACCCCAGTGTCTGAGGTAGGAGGAGCTGAGTTTCAGGAGCTTCCCCTACAGAGCTGTCTCAAATAAACAAACAACAACCACCAAACCCAAATAAAACAACAACAGCAGCAAAAACCCAGCAAACCAAAAGAGCAAACCAAACACAACCCTTATGGTTGCTGGTGTAGATGGCAGGGTGGTACAGGAGTGGCAGTAGAGAGGAGTCAGTGGACAACTGTGTGCCTCAAGAACTCCCACCCCCACCCCCTTTTTTGAGACAGTATCTATGTGCAGCCTTAAGAGCCCCCACCCCCTTTTTTTAGATAGTGTCTATGTGTGGCCTTAAGAGCCCCCCACCCCCTTTTTTTTTTGAGACAGTGTCTGTGTGCAGCCTGGGTTTCGATACAGAGCCCAGACATTATTTTGTTTCGTTTGTTGCAGGGTTTCATTATACCTCAGGTGTTGAGCTCACTGTTGTAGCCCAGGTTGACTCTGAACTTGGAGCAATCTTCTGCCTCACCTCTCCAGTACGGGACTATAGGTTTCATTAGCTATTTTAAAAGAAGCATTTGCAGAACCAGCAAATGAACTGGGTGGGAAGGGAATGGAGCAAGGGGAAGAGAGGGGAATCTGGGAATCTGCATAGATGGGGACACCACTTCCTGTGATGCAGAAGGAGCCCGTTTGGGCAGGGAAAGCCTGAGCTCCACGTGGATGTAGTAAGAATGCGATGTCACGTGGTGCTGTGAACAGGCACCTGGGCATCTGGGACCGGAAGTAAGGGGAGAGGAACAGATGCATCCTGGGAGTCAGCATGAGTTAGGAGTGGGCAGTGGAGCTAGGGTCTGTAGGAGCACACTAAGAGGAGGGAGCACTCCCTGACAAGGTTGAGACAATCCCACCCTAAGGGCAAGCTAACCATGAGTGAGTATGAAGGTGGCAGAAAACAGTGTTGGGACCGGAGAGTCAGCACCGGAGGCCAAGTGAGTCTCAGAGAGAAACGATGAGGATTCAGCAACTTGGAAGTCATTGGTGAGCTGGCCTAGAAACCTGACAGTAGTGCCTATCTGCCACCTAATGATAGTTCAAACATGCACAGGTGACCTTGAACTTAGACCCAAAGTCTCTCCAGCTGGATACTGGACTGACAGCTGGATACCACACCTGGTGATCTGACTCCTGTCTCCTCTCCATCTTTCACATGCACTGCATTCTGGGAGGGACCAAAACATCTCTTTGGCACATATATTTTAAATTAAAGACAAGTAAAAACCAGGAGAAACTCTTTGCCATATCTTAACCGCCTAAAAAGCAGTCATCCCTCAGAATCCAGGACCACCATGCCCAGTGATACTCAGGGTGCTCCAAGTCTTATGTAGAATGGTGCTGGGTTTGGAAGGTCCCTGTGAGTTCAAGGTCAGTCTGGTCTATGTAGCAAGTTTCAGGCCAGCTAGAGCTACATAGTAAGCTAAGAACCCATTTCAAGGGGACGGGGGAGGGAGAAAAAAAAAAGAAAAAAAAACAAACAGGAAAAGAAAATTTCAAGATGAAGAACAGCAGCCCTAAATGAACCAAAGCCCTCAAAGTAAGACCTAGAACTCTGAAATTATTAGATGAAAAGGGATAAAATACTTTAAGATACATGCATAGGCATAAATTTTCTGAACAGGACTCCAGTGGCTCAGGAGTTGATAAATGAAACCTCGTGAAATTAAAAAGCTTGTGAACTGCAGTGGAAATAGCTAATCAAATAAAGAGAGCCTACTGAAGAGAAAAATCTTTGCGAGTTGACATTACTTTCCGGACTATATAATAACAATATTAACAATCTATCCATCGGACATTAACATCTAGAATATACAAAGGACTGAAAAATACTGAACCATAAGAAACCGATCAACTTAATCAATAAATAGTCTAATGAAATGTACAGTCCCCAAAAGATGAAATATAAGGAACCGATAAACATACAAAAAGCATTCAACCTCACTACCTATCAGAGAAATCTTAATTAGAAACTATGTGGAAATTCTCTCTCACCCCAGTCAGAATGGCAGTCATTAAGAGAGCAAACAGCAGGTCTGAGGAGATGGCTCAGTGGCTGGGAGCACGTGTTGCTCTTCTAGAGGACCCGAGTTCAGATCCAAGCCCCCACATCACATGGCTCACAACTGCCTGTAACTCTAGCTCCAACATCCTCTCTGGCCTACACATACACACACACACACACACACACACACACACACACACACACACACACACACAGAGACAGAGAGACAGAGACAGAGAGAGAATGAAAAGACAAAAAATGCTGATAAAAACACAGACATAAGGGGATCCTTACACATTTCCTGGTGGCAAAATAAACTAATCTAGCCATCGGGAAGTCAGTATGGGGGAGTCTCACAAAGCTAAAAATATATCTAGCACATAACCCAGCTAGCACTCCTGGGTATGAACCTGAAGGACTTCTCCTAGTCAATGCATCAGAGACACCCACATGTCAGTGCTCACTGCGACACTATGTGCAGTAGCTAAGCTATGGAACCAACCCAGGTATCCAGCAACCGAAGAATAAAGAGACAATGTAGCTCACACACACAATGGAACAGACTTAAAGCAAAACACCGCCAGGCCATTTTTGGGAAAGTAGATCTGACTCCAGATAGTCACATTAAGAGAATCTGATCAGTCTCAGGAAGGTAAGTTATTACCTGTGGTCCCTTGATTTTATACCAGACACAGTTATGTAAGTGTCTATGACGTGAGCACAGAAGTAAAACTGGTTGTGGTGGTTTGGATATGCATGGCCCCCATAAATTCATGTGTTTAAATGCTTGGCCCATTGGGAGAGGCACTGTTAGGAGGTGTGGCCTTGTGGAGTAGGTTGGACCTTGTTGGAGGACATGTGCCACTGTGGGAGGTGGGCTTTGAGGTCGTATAAACTCAAGTCTGGCCAGAAGGACAGAGACTCCTGCTTCCTGGGGGACCAAGATGTAGACCTCTCAGCTCCTTCTCCACACTGTCTGCCTGCACACCACCATGTCCTACCATGATGATAATGGACTGAACCTGGGAACTGTAAGCCACCCCAATGAAATGTTTTCCTTTATAAGAGCTGCCGAGGGCATGGTGTCTCTTCACAGCAACAGAAACCCTGACTAAGACACTCTCAGAGAAAACCAAGTGAACTAAAGGGAAGGGAGAGCGGGGAGGAGGCAGAGAGAAAAGAGCCAGGAAGCAGGGGGTGGTGTGATGGCCAACATTGACTGTCACCTTGACAGGACCTAGAGTCACCTAGACCAGCCTCTCGGTAAGCACATGAAGAGCAGATCAGTTTAGTGGGAAGACCCATCCTAACAGTGGACTTCACTATTCCCGGGCCGGGTCCTAAAGCTGTGCACAAGCACCCACCTTTCCCTGCTTCCTGCCTGTGGATACCATGTGACCAGTCACCTCAGGATCCCCACCATGATGGACTGTATCCTTGAACTGTGATCCAAATAAGCCCGTCTCCCTGAAGTTGTTTATTTTGTCTGAGCAGTGCATCAAGTACTAATACATCGGGTGGGGAACACACACTAGACACACAGCATTCACAAGCATACATACAGCTTACACTGGTATGAAAATATCTTCGGATAACAAGGAACCACATATGACGAACAAATACAATGAAAAAACATTTAAACAAATAAAAACTAAAATCTTAAAAAGAGGCCAGCTGTATACATTTTCCTTTCTGTGTGGTAATTCACATTTGTAAAGGAAACCTGTTTTTTTTTTTTTTTTCCACCAGGTAAACCATGTCCAGACACAGCTGTTGTCTGTCACCTGAGACTTTTCCCACCTAAGAAGCCACACTTCCCCACCCCTCTCCTTTCCTAATTCTCCTCCTGACCCCACAAGCTCTAGGCCTTTCTCCTGAGCCTGAGATGGGTCAGAAGCCTCAACCATCTGGAGACTTTCTTGGACCACATTTTTCTCTGTGAACACCCTTGTAGAGGTAACTAAACGGTTTCTTTCTCTTTCATCAGTCCCCAGCCATGGGCCCTAAGAGAGCAGAGGGCAAAGGACTTCTCCTCCCACGGGCTCCCCTCCACCGCAGCTCTGGAGAACTCTGAACGGACCCCAGCAGCTGAAGTACCCCCTCTTCCAGGAAGCCTTCCAGGGCTGCTTTCGTCTCACCACCTGGATACCCAGCACCACTCACCTGCTGCACAGGTTCAATGGTCAGCTCCATGTAGCGGCTGATGGCTGTCATTGTCCTCAGCGGCTTGCCGTGTGACAGGCTGGTGAGAGGCACCCAGTCGGGGTTCTTAACAGAAACAGAAACAGAGAGGCAACAAGGAGAAATTGTAAAGCCGGGAGGCACTTTCTGAAAGGAAGGTCTCATTTTATTCAAAAGAGCCCTTAAGCCAGACGTGATGGTGCCTTTGAACCTGAACTCAGGGGCAGCGGCAGGTGGATCTCTGTGAGTTCGAGGCCAGCCTGAACCACATAGTGGGGTTTAGGCCAGCCGGGGATACACAGTGAGACCCTGTCTCAGGAAAAGCAGTTTCCCAGAGATCTTTGTGTGCACAGAATCTGGGGGCCACCACAGCAGGCATTGAGGACAGTCTGATCCGAACAGTGACTCAGACTTGATGGGACCTTAGGAAAGCTTGCTAGAGGCCACCTTGGCTTTAGAGTAGGGACACCCGGTCCAGGGCCCACGAGGTGAGAACTTTGACCAAGTGTGTTCAATCCCCAGCTCGCCGGCCACACGACCACTATGAATGAACAGAGCCCAACCCAAGATCACGACCTTACTCAAAACACGGTTAGGTTTATTTTTGCTCTTTTGGTAACAACTGTGTGACTCTCAAGCGTGAATTTTGTGGATGACAGTGTCAAAATATTGCAAAATATTGGCTTTTTGATGAGGACAAACCGCCTCAGGTAGGGTCCGTTCCGTTTACTCGTGGACATCAACAGTCTGGATCAAACAAAAAGAGGCAGGAGGCTGGGGGGGGGGGGCAGTTCAGAGATGGTGTTGTCTGGTGGGCAGAAGGCCCCGGTCCATCCCCAGCCCTGCAAAACTAAGAAGACAAACACGTGCCTCAGAGGTATCGCCTCTCACTAGTGGTGACTTATAGCTGTCAATGTTGGACATCATCACAAGCAACTTGCCCAGACAAGCATTAGCAAGCCCAGCCTCCAAGCCGGGAGAGTTAAACTGCAGCGACCTCAAGCCCAAATGGGTCCTTGTGACCTGGGACAGTTTTCCAGAAACAGCGTCACACAGATGTGCAAAGGCGGGGATGAGCATTGAGCGTGCTCTGGGATTGTCAGGAGGAGGCAACGACATAGAGACACACGGGAAAGGGGGAAGCAAATTGATGAAGTAAGCGTGGAAAAGCGCACGCTGTTTGAAAGCTAAGACACTAACTTAGGCAGTATGTGTGTGTGTCTGTAAGTGAATTAGTTGGGTAACACTAGTGACTATTTGACTATCCTACTGCACAGCTACAAGAATGCCTAGAGTAACAAAAACAACAACAAATAAATATAAATAAATAAATAAATAAATAAAAGAGTTCTTGGAACCCGGAAAATGGAGGGTCCCATTGCATTCAGGATCATGTGAGCTTTGGACAGTAAAAGCAGTTTCTTTTTTTTTTTTTTCTTTTTTCTTTTTTTGGTTTTTTGAGACAGGGTTTCTCTGTGTAGCTTTGCACCTTTCCTGGAACTCGCTTTGTAGACCAGGCTGGCCTCGAACTCACAGAGATCCGCCTGCCTCTGCCTCCCCAGTGCTGGGATTAAAGGCGCGTGCCACCACTGCCCGGTGTGAAAGCAGTTTCTTTAAGAGACCAAGCCTGGAAAGAAGTCACTGTACCCAGTACTTCCCACCTCTGTGCGCCCAGCCAGCAAACCAGACATTTTCTACCCAGAAGGACCTTGTCTTCAGTCCCGGCCTCCTGACTTTCTTCTCTCTCTGCGCAGGTCAAAAGGGCCTGCGTGTCGGGGCCCTCTCTGACTTCGGCAGCAAATCCGAAGCCTCGGCTCATCTTGCTCTTGATCACACAGGACAGAAAGATGATCTGAGACGCGGAAGTTAAGGTAAACGGAAGTGGAGAATTTCAGCCTCTAGGTGGTGCTCTGCACACCCTTCCGCCCCAGCAGCCGGCCCTGGTCCCTTCCTGGAATGATCCTGTCCCAGGCGGACAGAGCACATCTTGAAGCCCGGGCCTGATCAATTTTTCTCTGTCTTTCTGTCCCCTGCTAAATGCTTGGGAGGCAGAAACATCCGAAAACCGTCTTTCCTCGGGGCATGCCTCACAGTGATCGCACACGCAGTGGGGAAAACATGTGGTCCACATGAAAAAACAGGCTTATTTGAAAGGAGACCCCAAATGGACCTACACACAATGTCTGGCGTCCTTAGAAGGGAAGACGTGCAGAAGAGATCTACCAAAGAAGGCAGGCCATTGAAGACACACTTCCAAGGCTGAGGCGGGAGGATCTGGCTGGATTCAAGGCTAGCCTTAGCTACCTTCCAAGAACTTGTCTCATAAAGGAAAAACGCTATAAAGCGGCAGCTAAAGAATTCTGGAGGCCACAGGTAATCAGAAGGGATGAGGGCAGCTTCTCGGGCAGAGCCTTAAGAGTGGGCCCGCTTTGGTCTTAGAATTCTGGGTGATTTACACTCCCACCACCACCACAGCAGGGTCACATTCGGAGGCTGTCACCACCGCCACCAGCCTCCTCCAGCCACCAGCTCAGCTCCCCTTGCCCTTGAAACACTCACGCAAGGTCACCCGGGTGACAGTACATCAGGCAGCGCCCCTGGGGCCCCAGGAGCGGGCTCAGCAGCCCCTGACTGGAGGCAGCACTGGTCACCCTTGATTTCTGCACCAGTCGAAGAGGATAGAGCAGAAGGAGCCTGATTGGCAGGCCAGCCCGCCGGCAAAGCCCTCTCAGAAAGGCCTAGTGGGGGGAGAAAAGAAACAGACTCCTCCCCCGAGAGGGCGGGATCCTCGGAGAGATGGATGCCTGGTAGGAAGCAGAATCGAGCCTGGAGCCCCTGGAGGCGGGGCCTTTGACCCCCAAGGCTCAGAGCCTTCCCACTTCCCTTGCTCTGGGCAAGAGAATCAATCGTCTTTGAACTGGGATAGCCCCTGAACCGCAGATCACTGCGCTGGTACCTGCCTGCCCCAGGCTTCAAATCACTGGGCTGCTGGGCCACATGCTACCTAGCAAGACCAAAAGAGGCCAGGGCAGGCGGGAGGTAGGACAAGGCCATCGGCTGCAGGCAATCCAGACTCCACAGTCTCTGGGCCTGGGCGGATACAGCGAGGTCCAGCGCAGCTCGGCCCAGTGAAATCAGGAACCAGGGTGTGGCCTGGAGGAGGTACTCAGGCTGCCGGTCATGGGCCACGATGGCCGAGGCGTAGAGGAGGCCAGCCAGAGCCGACAGGAACCGAGCCCACAGGTGGATGTAGGAGAATGACTTCCCCCGGCACTGTGCAAAGAGAGGAGGGGCTGGGCAGGTGGACACTGGAGCCTAAGACCCCAGCTCTCGGTAGCCTATGGCATAGCCCTCTACCAGAGGCTGCTCACAAAGGGCGCTCCGCCCGCTAGGCATCTAGCTATTGTTCATGTTGCTACCCTTGCCTGGCAAACCCTACTCATTCCTCAGAATCTGGCTTAACCTTAACACCGGACACCATTCCTTACTGTGTCCACCCTATGGGGCTCTGGTTCTTTTCTGGACCCTGTCACGCCTGGCACATCCCTCTGTCATGGAGGAATGCGAGACTTCATATATCAGAGGACTCCTGGGGGACAGGCCAGTGAGTGGGTAGCGACTTGGGAATGCCAGCTGGGGACAGTGAGGGAGACCGAGTTGTAAAGAGCCACTGCCCCAGCTTTCCCGCTGCGGAACCTCACCACCCAGGGAGATCAAGGGACTGAGAGGCGACCTTCTGGACGTTGTGAAGCCAACGGGACGTTGTGAGAGAATGAACAGCAGAGATATTGGCTCACAAAAAAGGAACAGGTGCGATGTTTCATGTAAGGAGTCTCCGTAGGCACAAAGTCACTTTACAGCCAGTGGCTCAGCAGGTAAAGACACCTGCTGTTGACGACTTAGGTTGGATCCTGGCACCCACACTGTACGAGGAAGCGACTCCTGCAAGTTGTCCCCCGGTCATAACAACCTAGCCATGTGCCATGTGCCAGATCTCCAACCCCCGATAAATAAATATTCAAAACAAGTCACTTTATATATACATTTATACATGCATACACAAGACTACATACTAAACTGCACAGTATATATTTAAGTTTCCACATACGCAAGTATGAAATGTGTATAATCTGGTTTGCTTGTTAGGTGATGGTATTTAGAAATATTTAGGTGTTGGCTAAGGAATGGAACCAATTTCAGGAGAAAAGTGTATTTTGGCTGATTTTTCTCTCTTTTTTGCTTTAAATCCCCCAAGAATGCTCAGATGGGCTGGGATGTAGCTCGGCATTAGAGTGATTGCCTAGTACGTGTGTGGCCCTGGGTTAAAAGCTCAGCACTGCACAAACAAACAAAAAACAGCCAGGAATGCCACATATCCCTGTTAGTTTTATCTCCAGGCTCTCTTCTGGCCACCATCTGCAGAAAGCCAGTGAGAAGAGAGACCCAGTCAAGCACCTAACTGTGGGATACCTGGAGGTGAAGGTGGGTCTGGTCCCTGGTCCCACAGCCTGAGGGTAATGATGCCCTTCCCATGGTTCCTTCCTACAACCCTGAAAGTTTCCCAGGGCCATTAAGGGCCTGTGAGTTCCCCAGGCCGACCACCCCGCTGCAGGTCCTAGGGAACTAGAACAGGTAGTGAAGATACAGCCCTTGTTCCCTGGAAGGTCTCCCCACCATGTGATGCCCCACCCCCTTCCTGGAGACTCCTCCACAGGCTGCTGCAGCCAGCCTGGGAATCTCTGGAGACAGGACTCCAGGACTTCGAGGCCCAGGCCTCGAAGCCCAGCTGGGCTCTGTACGCACACAGTCACAAGCCACCTGCCTCCCACGTCCTGTCCTTCTGGATCTGCTACTGAAGCGTGGCGCTCCTGGGAAAGTGGCTGTCTTCAGGCTAAATGACAGACCCTTTCCACTTTCGGGTGTCAGGGCTGGCGCTGGGCCTGCCACTGAGGCAGGAGCACCACAGCAGAGTCTTCTACAGAGAAAACCTGGCCGGCCAGTTTCTACACCAGCCCCGGAGCTCACTCAGGCACCGTCCTGTATGGTGGCTTTTCCATGCCCTCTCCCGTGTACAGACAGCCCTTCCTCGGCTTCTGCCTCCACTTGTGAGCCGCTATGAGAGACCCCCCGCAGCCCGATACTGTCATGGTGTCCACTCTCACTCCCTGATGGCACAGGGGCTGTCTCTCCTGCTTCCCAAGCCAAACACTTGTTTCCACTATCGGGAGAGCAGGGAAACCCCTCACAGCACCATCTGCGTCTTCCGCAGGACTGAGAGCTCCCCAAGGATAAGCCCCATTTGGCCTCAACAGACCTGGCCAGCAAGTCTTCCCACAGCCCAGATGTTTGGAAATATTTGCCAGTAAGACCGTGGGTAGCTAACTGTGTTGGACTTCTGTGCCTTTCTTGTTCTCTTGTGAGACTCTAATTTGTCCCGTCCATGTGACCTTTTCCTGCTCTACTTTTCCTTGGCTACAGGAAGTAGAGAGAAGCGCCTCAGACTTCCTGGAAGGTCCCTGTACGTCTCAGGACTCCACTGTTCAGTCCCTTTAGACACACACACACACACACACACACACACACACACACACACACACACACACACCTACACACACGGACCCATGCATGCATACACACACAGCCCACACTGCTGTCGTATACTGGCTCCTCAGAAAAATGTAAGCACATATGTGCTCCACACAGGGACATCACACCCCCAGGATCTCCCGATGCCCCAAGACTGGTCACAGGACCGATAGCCCCAGCCCCACCCAGGCTCACGATATTGGAGAACGGAGGGATCCGGGATGCCCAGGAGCCAAAGGCAGCGATGCCTCCCAGCAGGTAGCCGAAGACTTCCGGGTTTTCCTGCAAGAACGGATGTGTAGAGACTGTGCATACGTCCCAAAGAGCAATAAACCCAATACAATCCCTTCTGCTTTTAGAAGGCCCCTCCTTCCAAAGGCAAGAACCCTCACCCTCTCCAAGGGCACAAGGAGGGAAGTGACCTGTACCACCCCACATCTTCGTACATTCAGCCTTACCTGCAGCAGGCTTCCCAGCAGCCTCCGCTGTGGCCCTCGGACTGGGGCTGAAGCCTTGGGGACAGCAGCCCAGACTGCCCAGCCGGGACCCAGGCACAGCGGCAGAGCCAGGGCAAACACACTGGCTCTCAGGTGTCCTCTGCTCTTCCTCTCCCTGCAGCTCCCACCTGCGGGAGACACCAGACCTCCCATGATGCTCCTGGACGACAGAATTCACCAGACGGCTGGTGAGGGGGAGGCTGGTGTAGACTCGAGCCTCTGCTGCATGTCTTGCTATGGCCGATCATGACCCCCTTCAAAGCCCTGGGGTCAAGTTCCTCTTCCAGAAACTGTCTCCCCCGACAGCGGCTGCTGCCTGTCTTCCTTGGAAGGAATCTTTTTTTGTCTTTTTTTTTTTTTTTTCCAGAGCTGAGGACCGAACCCAGGGCCTTGCGCTTGCTAGGCAAGCGCTCTACCACTGAGCTAAATCCCCAACCCCTGAAGGAATCTTTTAATGTTAGTATCTAGGTGGACAGTAACCCCTCTTCTCCCATCCCCAATGACCATGTTCCAACCATTTCTGTCACTGGCACTGATAAGTGACTGTACGTCAAGCCACCCACTCTGTGAGCAGGAGAAACAGCAGCGAGAGACGAATCCTTGCAGGTTTCCTTGGAACACGGGACACACGCTCTTCGGAGTATTTTAAAGAATAATTTTCCTCTGAGCTACGTGGACTGGGTTGACCCACCGATGTGACCACCCTGCTTCTGGACAAGAGTCTAAGAACACTGACTGCTCTCTTCTCAGGAACCCCCAGTCCTACGTACTCAGGGCTATTCACCCCATCTCGGTCCCTCCAGCCCTGCTCTTGCAGAGGTGATGCATGCCTGCTTCTGCCATCCATTTCCAGAAGCTGTGTGGCTTGGCTTGGTCAGCCAGACTTGCATACTGTCCCCTGAAGCCATCTACATCCCTGCTTCTGGCCTTGGCCCGTGCTGGTCTGCTTGCCCGTGACACCCACCAGTCATGGTGTCGTCACACGCTGCCACACGCTTTCCTAGCTCCGACTCTCATCCCTCTCTGTAACTGCTTAGGGCCCCATCTTTCTCATGCGGCTGAGGTCAGGGATCTCATTCCTTCATCTGGCTCGGGGTGTGGTAAGGAACGGGCACTGAGCGTATGGATGGACGGAAGAATGGAGGCGGAAGGCGGAAGGGATGACGGTGTACACACACTCACCAGACTTCGACTTGGATTTGGAGCCACAGACTGGGAAGAGGATGGACATAAAGTTCACGAAGTCAACAACTGCTAGGTAGGCACCTGTGAACACCTGGAAGCAAACGGAGACAGAGTCTGGGCGATCAAGCACCAGCCCTGAGGTACCACAGCACTACCCTCCTGGGAGACCCCCCACCACATGAGTTACGCCGGGGCAGCGTGTCTGTGGCATGGGTAGCTTTTGCTGTGGAGTTATATCCCAGACATGGAAGCTCTCCGGCCTCAGTTTCCCCATCTGTAAAACCGGCACACAACCAGGTCTCCCTCAATGACTGTCATATAGACGTCTGCAGACAATTCATGGCCAGTATTGGAACTGGGACCTAGAAGAAGTCAACAGTACCAGAGACAAGAGCTTCAATGGGAAGAGGATACGTTGTGGCTTTGGAATCTGGCCCTGGTATTTATTAGAGGGCAGGCTTACAGAAAGCTTCACTGTGCCTCAGTTTCCACATCTGTAGCAGATGAATGACAGGACCCATATCACGGGACAGTTTCCGGAGTAAATGAATTAATACACAAGGGGATCTCGGCGCCAAGGAGGCAGTTAAATATTTAAAAACTCCCGCCAGCCAGCCCTATTGGACATGAACAGAGCCTCATTCTACCCCACAAGCCAATGGAAAAGGGAGTCTGCTCCAGAGCCAGCACGACAGTGTTCTCAGCAAGTTCAAACCTCTGAACCAGTGTCCTGACCACTAGGCTGCTCCCCTTTATCTCTGCCTGGGTGGCCACAAAGATAAAATCACGAGTTCCTCGCGGTAGGGCTCAAAAAATATTCCTTAGGATATGTGTTGAGGGCTAGAACGCTTTAGTTGAGGACCTACACTTTGGGGAAGCTAGAAACCGCTTTTCCCTGTGCCAAATCCCACATCACCACCCGGGGAAGGACTCGGCTGCCACCGCCAAGTCTCAGCCCTGTAAACAGTAACAATAATGACTATTTACTGAGCATCTACTATGAGCTGTATACAGTGACAATACAGAGGTGACTAAGTCCCTGTTCTTCTGATGACGATAACTCGCTGTGGTGGCTTGAAGGAGAATGGCCTCCAAAGGCTCATACATGTGGATCCTTGGTCCCCAGTTGGTGGAACTGTTTGGGAAGGATTAGGAGGTGTGGCCTTGTTGGAGGAGGTGTGTCACTGGGAGCTGGGTCTTAAGTTATCAAAAGACTGAAGCCCTTCCCAGTGCCTCTGTCTCTTACTTGCAGATCCAGATGTGAGCTCTCAGCTGTCCCTGCCACCATGCCTTTGCTCTGCCATCATGAACCCTAACCCCTAAATCCAGGAGCCCCATTAAACACTTCCTTGTATGTGTTGCCTTGGTCATGGTGTTGTGTCACAGCAACTGGAAATTAACTAAGACACGGCAAGATAAGAAAACACAGCAGGCCGGGCGGTGGTGGTGGTGGTGGCGCACGCCTTTAATCCCAGCACTCGGGAGGCAGAGGCGGGCGGATCTCTGTGAGTTCGTGGCCAGCCTGGTCTACAGAGCGAGTTCCAGGAAAAGGCGCAAAGCTACACAGAGAAACCCAGTCTCAAAAAAACCAAAAAAAAAAAAAAAAAAAAAAAAACCCAAAAAACAGAAACAAAAACAAAAAACAAACCATAGCAGGAGAAGGGAGCTTGGAACACTTGTGGAAGAGATGTGTTACAATTTCACACAGGGAAGGCCTTAGTGTGTGTGTGTGTGTGTGTGTGTGTGTGTGTGTGTGTGTGTACAGCCACGTGTGTACAGCCACATGTGTACACTTACCCTAGGAGAAGTCATGGGATCCCCTGGAGCTGGAGTTCACACAGTTATAAGTCACCTGACACAGGTTCTGGGAACCAAACTCTAGCCCTCTCTGCGTGCTCTTACCCACTGGGACATGGCTGCAGCCCCGGGAGGCTTTGCTTTAGAAGGCGGCTTTGAACAAACGCTTAAGGGAGCTGAGGATGGGCCGTGTGTGGACCCCGAGAGAAAGAGCACTTGAGAAGGCAGGAAGGACAAGGCACAGGTTCCGAGAGGAAACTGCTCGGCGGGTCGAGGGAAAAGACAGAGGCGACCTCTGCGGCGGCCGCGGAGAAGCAGAAGCCAGGCTTGTGCGGGACATACCTGGATCGTGAGCTGTCTGGCCAGAATGGCCCCCACGGTGTCACAGAGGCTGGTCAGGAGGCAGAAGGCGGCGCACAGTGTCGACTGGTCCCGGCCACATTTCTTGGTGCATCTCAGGTAGAGAACCCTGAGGTGACAGGAGTGTGAACAGAACACGGGGGCTGTGAGTTGGAGGCGAGGCCAGAGACGACACCTAGAAGAGGCAGCTGTAACCTCTGTTCTGGGAAGCATCATCTCCCCTCTACCCCCTAGGTGTAGCATGTGTTTCTGGATTTAGCGTACAGGTGGGGAAGAAAAGACCAGAAGAACCACGAGGCCATGCCGGGAATTGGAGCTGTACTTGTAGATATATCGTCCTCTTCTACAGAAGGGGGAAACCAGCTGGGCAAGGGGCATGCACCTCAGATTCTTCCAAGCCTCGGCATGTTCGGAAACACCTGTGATCCTAGCACTTGGGAAACAGAAACAGAAGGTCTCGAGTTCGAGGCCAGCTTGCACTACCTAGGAGGTCCTGTCTTTAAGAAAAGAGAAGGGCTCTTTTCTTTTTCCCTCCTCCAAATCAGGCTGGGTCAATGTATAGAGCCCTCTCCTCCCTCACACGCTAGCTGTTAGGTTTGATTTTCTGAAAGGGAAACAGTTTCTAAAAGTCACCCCCCACCAGCGCCGCTAACTATAGCCATGATTGCCTAAATTTAAAAGGCAATTTGTTTCTTTGAAATGAGAGTGAAATCTACCCAGTCCATCTGTGCAGTGGGTGGCAGACTCCGCCAGTTGAGCAATTTGTGCATGTTCATAATGCAGGGAAAACAAAACGGAACTGCAGAGCAGCAGCACAGTGCTCTGGGCCCCGCTCCCCAGGTCTCCAAGCGGCTGGCTTCTCTCCCTCTAGCCCTCTCCCCACACCTGGGTCATACAGAGGGCAGGGCAGACTAGTAGAGGCCAGAGACTCTCTGGCAATATCACCAATGCCGTCTCCACCACACTGAGTGTCAGGTGTCTCCCTGCTGGTTTTTATAGAGGAATGGGCCAGGAGCAGCTCCGGCTTCATTCACTCAGACAGGATGGCTGGTGCTCACTCCATTGATCAGGTTCTGAGCATCGGTCCCATAGTTACAGAAGGAAGGCTGTTACCCAACACCCTAAACATTTCTGGGTCTGTCAGCCCCAAGCCTGAAGCTCAGAGTGTTATCATTAGCTATATATCTACGCTCTGGGCTGTTAAAACCAACCCAAGGTCAAGGAGTGAAGACCCAAATTAGCAATACTTTCTTTCAGCCTTTGTATAGAAGAGAGGAGAATGTGCAGCCTAGGGTGTTGATGTGAGTAGATGCAGGATCTGACTTCATGCTAGGGCCTTCGCCCTATGCCCTGATGCTCTTAGGCACGTCCTCCAAGCTCTCGGGGGCCAGGACTCCTGGACTGACCTTAACCTAGCCCACACACCACACCATGGAAGACCCGTTCTCTGCAAACGGAGGAGGAGAGAGGGGTTCGGGCGTGGTGGGGTCCTGAGAGGAGAGGGCCATGTCTAGCCTCGGGCTGGGTGAAAGATAGACGCCTTGCTCTCAAGCCTGTACAGCTAGGCATTCTCAGCACACCGCTGAACCTCGGTAGGCCTTGGTTCCAGGGGCAAGCATGCCCAACAGTGTGGGCAGCATGGGGTGGCTGAGGAACAAAGGAAACAATGCCCATGAGAAAGGGGATGGTGCCGTGGAGCCCTCTTACCTTGCGCCCTCTGACTGGATAGCTCAATCCCTGAAGCCTGCCTGTGTTATGGCATACTCAGTGGGCAGGCTCCTCATCCGAAAGTGTACTAACAGAACCTACCTGGGGGTGGGGGGAGCAGGCAAGGACCAAGGGCGTGAAGAAATGCAGCCCAGGCCCAGAGCGTCTTTCCTGGACTCCACTCACTAGGCAATGGGACTGACTGCAGACTCTCTGAACCACTACGGAGAGCCTAAGGGGTTGTCCCCTGAGCGCTAAGGTGAGCCAGTTACAGCAGTGGGGAAGGGCGATGACGCACCCTTCCTCTCCTGTCTGGGTATACTTGGGTGGCTGAAGACCTGGAAGTTTCACCCTCAGAACCCAGGCGACAGGGACTACCTGGCCAATCCCACTGCAAGGTAGACCAAAGCAAAAACTGTGGCCGGAGTCGGAACACCACTTCTACACCTCTTCCCAGCTATGGATGAATTAAAACTAGAAAACATCAAGGGACTTGCTAGGGTCCCTAAGGGTGGGTGGCAGAGCCAGAGCCGTAATGGTGTTTAATGAGCACTTACTAAGTCCTTTGCCTGGTCTGCCTCATTTAATCCTCACATTCCTTTTCGGAGGCATCTCCTCATTCCCGGGAGGCCCAAAGGCTTACTACACCTTGCCCTTGCTCCCCGCGCCAGCCAGCAGGGAAAGGCTGACAATAGAAGCCAACCCAAGCCGCCCCCACTGCACCACCCAGCCTCCTGCCGCCGGCTCACAGCCCAGCTTCCCCCGTGCTGGGAATCCAGAAGGGACTCCACGACAGTGCACAGAGCCGTGTCAGATCTGACCCCGGGACTTGAGCTGCCTCCCGAAGGCCCCCCTTTGCGCCCCTTCCCCTGGGTTTCCTAGAGGAGGCGAGCGGCGCCCGATCTCCCCCCCCACCCCCGACCCCGCGCGGACGGCCCGCCACCCCGCGCGCGGGTCCCGGCCCCCTTACAGCGCGTGGGCGGCGATCCAGCAGCAGGCGGCGCAGATCCACAGGCCGAAGGAGATGCAGACGCGGCGGCGGGCGAAGCAGCGGTCCAGGTAGTCCCAGTTCCAGAGCGGGGACGCGGCGCCAGCCCCCTCCTCCATGGCCCGGCCGAGCCGCCCGGGAGCCGAGCCCGGGGAAAGTTCCCGGACCGCACCGCTCCCCCGGCCTCGCCTATTGTCGGGGGGTCTGCGGGCCGCGGGCCGCCCCCTAGCGGTGGAGCCGCGCGCAGCCGCCGCACAAAGGAGGGCGCCGCCAGCACCCGGTCCCTTTGCGGGTTCACGAACCCCGCTTGCCAAGCCAGACAATACTCTGGCGCTGCCAAGCGCTCGTAGGGGTGGGGTGGGCACCCTCCCCGCCCCCCGAGGCGCGAGGTCACTGGTTAAAAAGGGTGGGTGGGGGACGGAGCGGGCACAGATCGCCTCTGCTTTCTCCTTTCACTCTGCCGACGCTGTCAAGGGCATGCATGCCAGGCGCCACCCAGTCAGTCTCCCTAGACCCAGCCGGGGAGGGGTTAATTTTGGAACGTGCCGCTCCCATCCAGCCGCAGGGCCACACAATTAGGTAAATGAATGTTTTTTCGTCTTTAAAGCAAACCATTAGAATATTTTCAAGGTGTCTTTATGGGTTTCAATAAGTTTGTTCAAAGCACAGCACACTGTCACTTAACTGTTTACTTTTGAGGCAGGGTTTTGCCTCGTGGCCCAGGCTAGCCTGGAGCTCACTGCGTAGCGTCCAGGTGGGCCTCCAACTCAAAGACCCCCTGCTTCAGCCTCCCCGGTGTTGGGATTACAGAACGGTCCACAGTGATGACCACTGCTCGGACAAATGAGAGGTCGCTGTGGTCTGAACATTCGTGTCCCCTCCAGTTCCATATATTGCAACTTAATCACAAAGCAGAGCGGTGGTGATACAGGCCTTTAATCCCAGCGCTTGGGACGCAGAGGCAGGAGGATCTCTGAATGCGAGGCCAGCAGAGTTCCAGGGCAGTCAGGGGTACACAGAGAAACCCTGTATCTGGTGCTGGTCTGTGGGCGCTCCATCCTCAGCCTCTCCGGGGAAGCCAGAGATCCTCCACTCACTGACTTACTAAACTGGGAACCCTCCACATGTCACCATCACCCCAGCATCAAGGTGGGGAAGCCATATGCTCTCAGTTTATACTTATGCATCACTATTGTTTTTGTTTCTGCTATGGAGACAGGATCTTTTGTAGCGCAGGTTAGCCTCCATTTGTTAAATAGTCAAGACGACCTTGAACTTTTGATCTTTCTATCTCCCAAGTGCTGGGATTACAGGCCTGCCACGTGACACCACATCCAGCTCTACGTCTGTTTTCCTCTGTATTACAGCCTCCCCTCAGGCTTAGCATACACCCCCCTCATGGCTGGACCAAACTAAACAATATCAATTTAGTTATTGTGTGTGTGCACACATAGGTATCAGGAGGAGAGTGACCCTGAGATGTGTGCTTGCATAGAACTGTAATCCAGACACTCAGGAGGCTGAGGCAAGAGGATCAAAGTACCAGGCCAGTCTGGGCTATATAGTAAAAACTATGTCAGAGGGGAGTGAGAGAGAAATATGAATCATTCTGCTTGTAAAAAAAAAAAAAAAAAAAAAAAAAGCAGACCAGGCCAGTGACATGACTCATTGGGTGAAAATGTTTGCTGCCAAGCCTGAAGACCTGAGTCCAATCCCTGGGGCCCATCTGATGGAAGGAGAGACCTGACTGTGGTGGTGTGAATAGGAATGGCCCCCATAGACTCATGTGTTTAAGGGCTTGGCCCAGAGGGAGTGGCACTATTGGGAGGTGTGGCCTTGGTGGAGGAAGTGTGTCACTGTGGGGGTGGGTTTGGAGGTCTCCTATGCTCAAGCTACACCCAGTGCGGCACTCAGTCTCCTGCTGCCTGCAGATCAAGATGCAGAGCTCTCAGCTCCTTCTCCAGCACCATGTCTGCCTGCATGCCACCATGTTTCCCTACCATGATGATAACGGACTAAACCTCTGAACTGTAAGTCAGCCCCAATTCAATGTTTCCCTTTATAAGAGCTGCTGTGGTCATGGTGTCTCTTCACAGCAATAGAAACCCTGACTAAGACACTGACCCCATAAGTTGTCCTCTGAGTTCTGCACTTGAATGTACTCACATTTGCACACACACACACACACACACACACACACACACACACACACACACACAGAGCTGTTAGCACATGGCTGTGGACCTGACACAGCATTGGGGACTTGGAGCAGAGAACGGAACCTCTCTGCACTCGTATGTGTTCCTACTTAACAGTGAGGTGATGGCCGGGTGGTGGTGGCGCACACCTTTAGTCCCAGCACTCAGAAGGCAGAGGCAGGCGGATCTCTGTGAGTTCAAGGACAACCTGGTCTACAGAGAGAGTTCCAGGACAGCCAGGGCTGTTTCACAGAGAAACCCTGTCTTGAAAAACAACACAAAATGAGGCGGCAGAGGCACCTGCCTTAGTGTCCTGTGACACTAGAAATCCTATGGTTCAAGCAGTGACACGTGCCAACGGTGGACGTTGACCCTCTTGTCATCCTAAGGAAGCTGGGTTCAAAGACAGCGAAGAAAAGTCAGCTAACCTCAGGGAGACCATGGCTCAGCTCTCGGTCCCTTCCCCTCCCCTGCCACCTTGGGTTACCTCTGTTCCTGCATCCCCTACATGCTCATCTCCTGTCAAACTTCCCTACCAAGCTCAACTTCGATGTTTTTGAGCCAGGGTCTCACTATGTAGGCCGGGCTAGCCTGGAACTCGCTATGGAGATCAGGTTGGCCTTGAGCTCACAGAGACCTGCCCGTCTCTGCCTCCCCAGTGCTGGGATTTAAGATGTGCATCCAAGCTTACTTTTTGCTTGGTTTTGAGACAAGGTCTTACTATGTAGCCCAGGCTGGCCTGCAACTCCGTACTCAGTGTAGCGTACCCTCTAATTCACAGTGATCTTCCTGCGTCAACACTGGGACTGTAGGTGTGGGCACCACACAGGGCTCTTCGGCGTGGCAGGACTCAGCTGTGAGTGGGTTTTGCAATTGTTCTCTGTGAGTGGATTTTGTAATTGCTACGCATTTCTTTGTTGCGCAGGCTTTCTGTTTCTTCCAGATTCAACCTCAGTAGGTTGCAATTGTCGGGTTTATTTCCTCTGGGCTATCGGCTCTCATTCCTTAGATTCACGTGCTCCACTATCTACTTGCTTTTTCCCATTGTGTCTAATTGAACGGGCCCAAGCCAAACTCTTGGTTTTCCCTCCCAGAGTTCCAGGACTTGGTGTCAGCTGAGGCAGAAACACCACAGTGGTAGAACACAGGCCGCTGGTCTCACGCCTTTGGCCGGAGGTCCCAGCACAGCCCTGTAAAGGCCTTCTTAGAAACACGGAGGGAATGGCTTCCTGACAAACAGTGGAGGTCCTGGGGCTCTGAGGGGAGATGAGATGGTGACAGCCTGAAGCCAGGAGAGGGTCTGTGTCTGAGGAGAACACCTCTGGCTCATCCCTCCCTGGCAGCTCCTCCCAGAGTCCCGCAGCCCACAGGAGCTTAGACCTTGCTTTTGGGCCACGGTCCAGACTCTGAAGAGAAAACCCACCAAGAGCCTGAGGCTCGGCTCCAGTCCTCCTGGGCAGTGGGCCACCTCGCATCTCCCAGGCATTTCCTGCTGGCAGTGGCAGGGCGGCCTCGGGCATTGTCCTGCGAAGAAGGAAGGGCCGAGCCTGGGCCTCCCACAGGAGCTTTCCTTTTGGTGAGGGCCCAAGGCTGAGGCACCGGGTTTCCTGCCAGCCTCTAACAAAGTGCAGCCCGGACAGGAAGGGCTGTGGCTGTGAACAGCCACAGGGGCCAAAACAAAACAGCCCCCACAGGTCTCTTCCTCGCTAGAGAGACGCCGGCACTGACAGAAGCCTCTGGAAGCGACACAGCTCCAATCCTTCTTCCTAGGTTGTCATTTTCCAGAGCCGGGGACTTGAACTTGAGATATTCCCAACATTCCCGCCTCAAGCTCCCAAGTGCTGGGAGGTCAGACGTGCACCACCACACCAGGATTTCTGGAGTAATTCTGTCTGCTTTTAAAGACTCTCTCTGAAAAATTCTAATCTTTAGGAAAGCTAGTGTTGCCAGTCCTTAATACTCTGCCACATCTGCTCCCTCTCTCCCTCTAAACCACTTGAAATTTCAGCCATCATGACACTTCATCTCAGATTGTTGTCTCCAAGGACACACCTTCTCTCTCATTTTTGAATATTCTATGGATTTAAGACTCTTCTTTTCTCTCTCTCTCTCTCCCTCCCTCCCTCTCTTCTTTCTTTTGAGACAGGGTTTTTCTGAGTAGCCTTGGTTGTCTTGGAATTCACTCTGTAGACCAGGCTGGTCTCGAACTCACAGAGATCCACCTGCCTCTGCCTCCCGAGTGCTGGGATTAAAGGCGTGCGCCACCACCGCCCGGTTAAGACTCTTCTTTTAAAAGCTCAGTGCGAACACCTGTAGTTCAAGCATGCAGGAGGCTGAGGCAGGACAATCACCACAAGTGTGAGGCCATCCTGGGCTACAGAGAGTGTTCTAGCCACTTTCATTCCACACATACGGCAATGCCACCTAATGTGTAACCCACATGATCTCTGTGAGTTCGAGGCCAGCCTGGGCTACAGAGTGAGTTCCAGGAAAAGCACCAAAACTACACAGAGAAACCCTGCCTCAAAAAAACAAAACAAGCAAAACAAACAAACAAACAAACAAACAAAACAAAACAAAAAACCCAAACCAACCCAAAAGTCAGGAATCTGAGAAAAGGGATGGGGGGAGGGTTGATATAGATAGAAGGGAGATAAGAGAGGTGAGGAGACGTAATCAGAATGTGCTCTTTTCAAGTTTGAAGTTATCAACAACAACAACAACAACAAAAAACTAAGTTAATAGAAGAATGAGGGGAAAAAACTTCAAACAATGGTGCTCGGTTTGAGTCTTTAGGGACAGTTCAGCAGAGGAATAGCCAGAGAATACAAACAGTGGCCAATGCCATGTAAGGCCTGAAGTCTGCGGTCACCTTCCTTTTATCTCCCCAAAATGGCTTCCACATCTCTATCCCCTGACCACTAAGGACCCAGGAAAATGTAACTGCCATCCCAGTTCAGTCAGAGAGACAACAGCAACTTCTGGGAGTAAGTAAAAAGCTCTGGTTTTGTTTTGTGTTCTGAAGAACACTTTCCAAAAAATAACTCTCTACAACATTTCTCTCTTCAGTTGCTGCAGCCTTCAAACCAAGATGACGACACTTGGCAGTTCCAACTGTTGTTGAGAAGGGTTCAACAGAGCGATCTGTGTCCTGGAAAGAACCACAGTATCCGGATTTGACCTTCAGAGATGCATACAAAGACCAGAGAAGAGCCAGCGTGGTGACGCACACCTGTAATCCCAGCACTTCAGCTCAGGGCAGGAGGAGCACACAGTTGGGGCCAGCCTGGGCTACAGAGCGAGATCCCATCTTCACAAAAATAAAAATGACTATAAAGGAGGAAGCACGGCGAACACAAGAGTCTGAGTGAGATTAGTAAAATAAAGAAGGCAAAGGATATAGTCTAGTCTCTCTGAATTCCTGATCTGCCTGTCCTCTGTCACTGTAAGAAATGACTCAAAAGTGATTTGACCACTGTTTCCCCTAGCATGGGAGCAGGGATAATACACAGAGCACCTCTTAGGAGCTGCCCACACAGGCACCGGATACAGTCAGAAGAGAGGAGCCATTCAGAACCACACTTTTGACTCACACACACACCCAGAGGCCAGTCACCAGCAACAGATTAGATTCTATTAGCAAAAAGAAATGCAGGTTTGCAAATATTTTCAGTTTAATGCCCCAGCCCACCCATGTTCCTCAATTAAACAAATGCAAAACACCTGGGTGGCTCTTGCCACACTCAGAAATCAGGCACTAGTTCTGATCCAAGAGTACTGGGGAGGGGAGGCCCCGCTCATCAGAGACACCTGGAGAGAAATGGCTTTTCACTGAGAACAGCCCCACCTACTTACTGCACTTCCCTGTGAGGGTCGTAAGTCTGGAATATCCAGGCTCATCTACACCACACAGCTTCAACCCCTGCGACATAAACATGATAAAACTCAGGAGAGGTAGATGCCATCCTTTTATTTTCTAGAGTCCCACGGATGAGAAAAACAATAAAAGTTAAATTCCTTGTGTATCTTCTAATGTTGAATGGATGCTCACTGCTGCTTCTGAAAGCACATCCCACAAAAATGCAGAGTATTTCCTTCAAGTCAGGTCTGAGGACTACGCTGGAGGTGGTGGATTCAATGGAAATGTCCCCCACAGGCTCATATTTTTGAGCACGTGGTCCCGAGTGGGTGGAACTGTTTGGGAAGGATTAGGAGGTACTGCCTCCTTGGAAAAGGCATGTCAGTGGGGGTGAGCTTTGAGGTTTCAAAAGACTCATGCCATTCCCAAGGTGCTCTCTGCCTCTTATTTTCGGATAAAAGATGGGAGCTCTCAGCTGTTCCTGCTGCCATGTCTTTGCTCCGCCATCGTGGACTCTGACCCTCTGAAACCATACGCCCAATCAAAGGCTTTCTTTTAGAAGTTGCCTTGGTCATGGTGTTTTATCACAGAGATAGAAAAATAACTAAGACACTGGCCAATAGCAGCCGGTGCTATATGTGGCTATTTATACCGAAGATACTTAAGTACAAACAAAAATTCACTTCCTCCTCCATACTGGTCATACTTCAAGCACTGAACAGTCACAATGGCTATAGCAACCTTGGCCAGTACAGGTCATAGAATATATCCATTACAGCAGCAAGTTCAGGTGGACAGTGCTACATTTCACATTGGAAACCTGAGCCTGGACATGTACAATACTACAGAACAATGAGAACAAATGGTCTGTTATCACACGTACTATGGATGACCCCCACAATGGTGGACTACAGAATTCAGACTCCCAAGAGCACAGACTGTAGACTCTTTTTTCTCTACAATACAAAGGCAGAGGGAAGGTCAGAACAGAGAGGCTGCCACCTTGGCAAGTAGCAGCTAACAGGAAGCTGGGGTGCAGGTCAGGCGTGGAGCCATGATCAGGCTGCTTTTTATCTGTACACCGTGGCTTGTGCACTTTCTGTAGACATAGGAGAACATTCAAAATCCAGTTTAGGGGCTGGAGAGATGGTTTGCAGGTTAAGAGCACTGACTGCTCTTCCAGAGGACCAGGGTTCAATTCCCAGCACCCACATGGCAGCTCACCTGTCTGTAACTCTGGTTCTAGGAGGTTCAGTGCCTCTTCTGGCCTCTGAGGGCACCAGGCACACAATTGATGTACAGACATATTTGCAGGCATATTACCCACACACATAAAATAAACATAAATCTCAAAAAAATAGAAACTATCTGGTCTACCACAGACCACATTTTTCATGGGTATTGACATTTGCTTGTCACATGTGTAAAATTGTCTCCCTTTATCCAGGGAGGGGACGGAAGGACACTCTTCCCTTCAAGGGTCTTCCATTTTTAACTGGAAAAACAATGTGCTGAACCCAATATGGGGCAAGTAGACATGGAGTGAGATTTTTGGATGATTTTCCTCTCTTCCAAACCAAACAAGAGAAAAACCTGTTAAAGCAATGTGTCCCTTAGAAGAGTTCTGAATTGTTGGCAATTTTTCCAGTTTATCTCCCCCACCCCCTCAAAAAAGAAAACCAAACATATGTGGCTATTGGCTTCTTGGGAAGAACCTCGACTTCCTTCTAATTTCCTGAAAGTAAACAGAAGACAGATGCACGGCGGGTTACCATTCATAAAATGTGGGAAAGTGATAGCGATGACTAATTCATAAAGCTAGACCATAAACCTCCACATGGACGGACATCAAAGCATCCGGCAAGGAAAACTTAATGAGAGACATTCAGAAGCCAAGGTCAAAAATGGGAATTCCCCTGTCAGGATGCCCTAGCTCAGGCACCGCAGACTCCAGGCAGGGACTGCAGCTCAGTTTCCTTACTGTGGAGGTACGTACAGGAAGCCGAGAAAGGGGAGAGGGTGATGGGAAAGAAGAGCCCCGCAGGGGGAATGAGATGCCTCCAGCTTGAGGGCAGCTGGGCTCGCTTCACTAGCATCTTTTGAAGGACATACAGAATGAACCCACTGTGTGACGGGGAAGCTGAGGGACCAGCCCTCATCCTTACCAAATTCCATGCAGTTTATATGGAGTGTCCAGAACAGGCAACCTGCCTACCACATAGACGAAATATAGACGAATGGTTGCCTAGAGCAAGGATCTGGGATATGTAGGGTTTTGGTTAGGGCTTCTATTACTGTGATAAAACACCATGACCAAGAGCAACTTGGGGGAAGAAAGGGTTTGATTTGCTTACACTTCCACATCACAGCCCATCATTGAAAGAAGTCAGGGCAGGAACCTGGAGGCAGGAACTGAAGCAGAGGCCATGGAGGATGCTGCTTATTGGCTTGCTCAGTCTGTTTTGTTTGTTGTTGTTGTTTTAATAGCACCCAAAACCACAGTCCAAGGGTGGCACTGCCCACAGTAACCTGGTCCCTTCCACATCAATCATCAATCAAGAAAATGCACGACAGGCTTGCATAGTCTGGAGGGGGCATTTTCTCAATTGAGGCTCCCTCTTCCAAAATGACTGTAGTTGTTTGGTTGAGGTTACGTAAAAATAGCCAGCACAAGTACACTGGGGACTGATGACTTCCTAGGTTGGGCTCTTTATTGGGGATGGGAGGATAAAAATGTTCTAAAATTTACTATAGTGGCATGTGGGAGCCCGTTCTCGGGTTCCTCGTGGCTTTACCCAGCAGGTCCGCATAGAGGATGATCAGGACCACGGGCCTGAGTACAGGTGTCTGAGATGGTCTGCACTTGGCTGTGCTGGGGGAGGAAGTCTTTTGTTCGACCCCTTGGCGTCTCTATAAAAACCCTGGGGCAGAGCCAGTCGGGGCCTGTTGGAAAAGGTTCCAGGCCCTCTCGAGGTTATCCTTTATTTTCTATCTGTTTATATCCGCAAGATTCTCCGCAATGAATCCTTCTATCTAATATTTCCTGCTGCTCACACTCAAGAAAACTCTGGGGAGCTGTGGGGTTGGTGGGTAAACACCCCACAGTGGCACAACTCTAGATATGTTAAACCCATGGGTTGTATGCTTTTTACCAGTAAACTGCATGGTGTGAGTTTTTTCTGTCCCTATATGCTGTGGGATGTCTTTTGGTATGTTGTGAATATGTGTTGCTATGATTGGTTAATAAAGAACCTGCTCTGGCCTATGGCAAGTCAGGTTATAGTCAGGCAGGAAATCCAAGAGAGAGACAGAAAGAAGAAAGGCAGAGGGGGAGGAGACACCAGCCTGCCGCCCAAGGAGCAACAAGGTGTCAGCAGACCGGTAATGCCACGACCACATGGCAACATACAGATGAATAGAAATGGGTTAAGTTATAAGAGCTAGCTAGCAAGAAAACTGACCCATAGGCCATATAGTTTGTAAACAATATAAGCCTCTGTGTGTTTACTTGGGGCCAAACGTGGGTGGGAGAGATTAGTCTTGGCCAGGCAGGACTGGAGAAACTTCCCGCTACAACTCTAGGCTTTGTCCATCAGTATCAGTTTCTGTCTGCCCTTCAGCAGATGGCCCAGAGTTTTCATATTCTGACTCTTGTTCCCCTTCTAAACATCCAGGTGTGATGGTTGATGCATGTAATCCCAGCACTCAGGAGGCTGAGGCAGGAGAACTGGCATGAACTTGAGGCCAGCCAGGGATCTACACAGCGAGCTCCAAGCCTGAACGGTAGAGTAAGACTGTCCAAGAGGCGTGTTCCTTCCAGCAGCAGGATACCATAACTGTGGTTTGGGCTTAAGTCTACTTCAGCTTTGAGAGGAATTAACTTTTACCCATTACTGCTTTCTCTGAGATGGGGTCATGCTAAGCTACCTAGAATTCCTCACCCTCCTACCTCAGCCTTCGGAGTGCTGGGATTACAGGTAGATACCTATTTTTTCATTTATTGCTGAGTAGCTGAGATGCCTTGAGCCTCTGATCCTCCTGCCTCCGTGGGTGGATTCCAAGCATGACCCATTATGCCCAGTCCTTCATTATTTAAAGGAAGAATGCAATCTACTTCACTGTTCATGTATATACACGGTTACCTTATTTTTTCCTACCTAGAATCCCGTTAGGACTTCAGGGTTCCATGAGATCTGGCTATAGCTAACTTCCATAGTGCTTGCTTCCTGTTTACAGGGTGTCCCAACTTTGGTTCCTTTGTTGTTATTTTATTTTGTTTTGTTTTTTTTTTACATCCCGACTGCAGTCTCCCCCACACCCTCCATCTCCTCCTCCTGTTTTCTCTTCAGAAAAGGGCTGGTCTCCCATGGATATCACCCAGCCATGGTATATATATCAAGTGAGACTAGGTTCTCCTCTTCTTTTAAGGCTGGATGAGGCAATCCAGTAGAAGGGAAGGGTCCCAAAAGCAAGCAACAGAGATAGCCCCTGCTCCCACTGTTAGGAGTCCCACAACACCAAGCTACACAACTGTAGTAATATATGCAGAGGGCCTAAGTCAGTCCCATGCAGGCTCCCTGGCTGGTGGTTCAGTCTCTGTGAGCTCCTGTGAGCCCAGGTTAGTTGGTTCTGTGGGGTTTCTTGTGGTGTCCTTGACTCCACTGGCTCCCATAATCCTTCCTACCCCAACGTTGGTTTCTTTATGGATTGTCTTCCTGCTAGAAGGTAGCTGACTGATAAATATTTGCTGAATGTAGTTTCTTACTGGGTGTGGTGAGTCACACCTGTAAGCCCAGCTCTTAGACTGCTTGGAGGATTGCCTGATTGTGAGGTATGTTCCGGGCACTTGACAGGGGCAGTGAGGGAACAAAGAAATGACAGATACAGACACACAGAAAAACTGAGTTGGGTGGATGGAGGCTGCTGATGGAGAGACCACAGCACCCTCGAAGCTCCTCCTGTTTGTTGTATAGAGTTGAACAGAGAGGCAGGGTTTTTACATACAGCTGAATCAGGAGGCAGGGTTTATGGTATAAAGCTGGACCAGGGAGACAGGGTTAGCTCGTCTCTGTAGGAGCAGTCTCTGGACTGGTAACTATTCAGAGGGAGAAAGCTACTGTGGACATTTTCCACATCACCATCAACACCTACACACAGACCAGAAGGGAAACCCTTGCCATTCCCCCTTTGGGTGTGGCCTAGGGGTTGGGAAAGGCTTGGAGGTTCTTGACATGGCTGCACCCATGTAAACAGCATGTTCACTCAGGATTCACTCACTTGGGGCTTTCTCTGCTTCCTAGAGGTGACCTTGAGTGGTGGTTTGAATGAGAACGGCTCCCATAGGCTCATATATTTGAAAGCTTAGTCCCCAGTTGGTGGAACTGTTTGGAAAGGATTAGGTGTGGCCTTGTTGGAGGAGGTATGTCACTGGGCATGGGATTTGAGGTTTCTAAAGCCCACTCCATTCCCAGACAGCTCTCTCTGCCTGTGAACCATTACCCATGTATGTGTGCCTGGTACCCATCAAGACCAGAAGAGGTCGTCGGATCCCCTGAAACTGGAGTTACAGATGGTTGTGAGCTGCCATATGGGTGCTAGGAACCAAACCTCTCCTAAGAAAGAACAACCAGTGCTCTTAACTGCTGAGCCATCTCTCTAGACCCTCCCCTAGTTATATTTTGGCAAATTCAAATTATTATAACATGAAATGTATGAATTAGTGGCCAATTAATTTAATAACTTCAAAAACAAAGTTAATATGCATTTGTACGTATGTTTACACGCACATCCGTCAGCCTTCTGCAGAAGGAGACTCCTGGGGCACCACAATGACTATGACAGGCACGGTTGGTGCTTCCGAAGGCTGCCTCGCTGTCTAGCCTTCCGGGTGCATTCCACAGTGCCCGTGTCTGGGAAGCCCCACAGGCAGCAGTGGCTTTGGTTCATGTCCACCTGCACGATGCAGATGCCACTTTGGTAGAGCAAGTTCACATATCCAGGTGTCTGTAGAGCCTACGACTTTTCTCTTTTTTATTTCGGTTGCCATGTTTTTTCCAGGGTTTTCCAGCCACGTTCTCAGCGCTCACAGCAGCTGCGCTCAGCAGGCCACTCCCGGGCTTGTAGCCCATCACAGCCTGGACCCCTTTGGTCAGCGCTCTGACGTTCTCCTGAGAGGAAACACAGGAGACATGAACAGGCTTCTCAGGACAGGAGCAACTCACTCAGCACACAGGTCTCCTCGGACCCAGTCTCACTCCCTACCCCTCATCCGAGGCTCCCCAGCACCCTCTCTTAGCTCACCTCTTTCCAGCCTTCCTTGTCTACTGTTCAGTCCAACAGCTTCCAATGTTATCTAAAACCATCCAAATACCCCGTAATTCAAATTTCCTGGGCATTCCTATTTTTTTCTTCTTGAGTCAGGGTCTTACTGTGTAGCCCCAGCAAATCTGGAGTTCCCAATTCTCTGTCTTTGGAGTGCTAGGAGTATAGGTATATACCACCACATAGAGCCTGAGTCTCCATGGATGTCAGATTCAGGCAGCTTCAGCATACATTAGACACTGATGCTCGAGACATATTCAGTTTGTTTAGTAACATGAATAAAAATTATAAAGTAACACCCACGACTGTCACATGCAGTAAAATTAATATTTTATAACAATCTACTGGGGTGAAGGTTTAGATATGGACATTAAGTTAAGGTGACACTTTCAACTTCTTTTTTTCTTTTTATTGAAAATAATTTTTTTTTCTCACATAATGCCACTTTCAGCTTTCTCATGCAATGCCTTCAGAAATCTCTGCAAGCATTGAAAAATTAAATTGAGCCAGCCTTTAATCCCAGCACTCAGGAGGCAAAGCCAGGTGGATCTCTGAGTTCGAGGCCAGCCTGGGCTACAGAGCAAGATCCAGGACAGGCTCCAAAACTACACAGAGAAACCCTGTCTCGAAAACAAAACAAAACAAACAAAAAAAATAAATAAAAAAAATAAACTGTATGACAATTGTGGCATTGGGAACCAAACCCAGGTTCCCTGCAAGAGCAGCATGTGTTCTTAGCCACTGAGCCTCTCTCCAGCCCCTAATTAAGAATATTGAAAACGAGCCGGGCGGTGGTGGCGCACGCCTTTAATCCCAGCACTCGGGAGGCAGAGCCAGGCGGATCTCTGTGAGTTCGAGGCCAGCCTGGTCTCCAAAGCGAGTTCCAGGAAAGGCGCAAAGCTACACAGAGAAACCCTGTCTCGAAAAACCAAAAAAAAAAAAAAAAAAAAAAAAGAATATTGAAAACGTGTATTAAACACAACAAAAATGACTTAACACTTGTACATAAACCTGACATTGAAAAAAAATGCTACCAGCCATTGTGTGTGGTGGTTCACGCCTTTAATCCCAACATTTGAAAGGCAAGGGCAGGAGGATCTCTGTGAGTTTGAGGCCAGCCTGGTCTACAGTGCGAGTTCCAAGACAACCTTACTGTTATACAAGGCTGTTACACAGAGAAATTTTGTCTTGAAGAAACAAAAATAGTAACAACAAAAACCAACCAACCAACCAAACAAACACAAAAAGAAAATGCTACCAGCTATGACGAAGCAATTCAAGTTACTAATATTGATTCACTTATTTTTTATGTCCATGTATGCATATTTGTCGAAGTGAGAAGATGCGTATGTGTGGATGTGGGAGCTGAATGCAAGTACTGGGATCACAGATGTGCACCACCACACCTTGTCTGGAGTGTATACAGACGTCTTCAGCATGCGGAGACAGGATCAGGAGTTCAAGAACATCCTTAGCTACAGAGTTCAAGGTCAGTGTGGTTACGTAAGACCTTGTTTCATCCCCTTTAACACACACACACACACACACACACACACAACAACAAAAATCTCTTACAACTCATTTCTGTACAGGAAATGCACAGGTACCTGCGAGTCTGTGAAATGCTGCTGTTCATCACGAAGTGCCAGGGTTAAAAAAAAAGGCTGAACCAGAGACTACTTCAGATGCTGAAGCAGCACCAGCAAATGGGAATCACTGGCGCAGATGTGGAGCCATGACACCCCCAGTGCTGCTGGCGAGCATGCCCAACAGCACAGCCATCTCTGGACAGGCTGGCTGCACCTCACAGGCTAAAAGCACAGCTTTCCAAATGACGGAAGCATTCCAGTCCTGCAGTGCTCACTCACGAATGTGAAAACACACGCTACACAAACAGATGCACGCACACCTAGCAGCCTAATCCTATTAGCCAAAACTGTGAAAATACCCCAAATGCCTATCAACCGGTAAATGGAAAAAGAACTATGGCACTTCTGTACAGTAACCTATTTGTAATTAACAGGAATGATGCGTGGACACACGCTCCAACACAGGTGGACCTTGGACCAGCTAAGCGAAGAACAGAAGACCACTCAACATGACTCCACTCATGAAATGCCCAGAGCAGGCCACCCCACACACAGAGAAAAAGCAGGGTAGTGGCTGGCAGGGGAGAGGGGGAGAGAGGGAAAGTGAGCGGCTGTCAGTGGTATGGGGGGGTTTCTTTTTGGAGTGACAAAATTCTAAAACTGGTTGTGGTATTGGCTGCACAGCTGTGGCTATAATAGAAACCACTGCACACTTCCAATCTGTGTGTGGAGCCAGGCTTGATGATGCACAGCTGTAATCTCAGCACCAGGGAAGCTAAGGTCAGCTTGAGGCACAAAGCAAGACCCAAGAGCAAAAAAGTGGGGCTGGGGAGAGAGCTCAGGGGGGCACCTGTTGCAGAGGACCCAGTTCAGTCTCAGCACCCACATGGTAGCTCACTTCCACCTGCAGGGGACCCAATGCCCTCATCTGACTTCCAGACACACACGATGCAGGTAAAACACTCATTTCCATATGTAACAAAGTGTGCTGTGTGAACTTACAGTGTCCATGAGCCTCGTGCTGTGGGTGCTGGGAATCAGACTCAGGTTCTCTGAAGAGCAGCAGTGCTTTTAACCACTGAGCCACCCTCCAGTCCACTAGATGTTTAAATAGTAAATATTTGGATTTTTAAATGTATTGGATGAGAAAAAACCCAGGCTCTTCTTACACTTACCTGATGGAAAAAGGCTTTGTCAACTCCATTTTCAATCTGTTTGGCTTTTTTGTTTCTGCCCGGCTGGAGTCGTATCTCTTCAGCTTTTGTTTTGATCTCTAGGAGTTGCTGATGTTGATTCTGGAACGCCACAGGATCTCTTCCAGGAGGAGGGTGGCAGTACAACAGTTTACCCTACAGAGACAACAGCACACCGTGACCGCCTTACCCCCAGGAGGGCAAAGGTCCTCAAGGCAAGTGTGAGGCAGGCAGAGGAGTCCTGCTCTGACAGCAGCTCCCCCCAGGGTCCTTCTCTGTGACCGTTCCCTGCACTTCATTTCTAAGTAGTGTTCAGTGTTCTTTTACGTCAGGACACACGCATGGGAACATCAGGCTGGAGTCTAAAATCATACCATTTCTGAGGCCTGGGCCTGGGCTCAGTGGTAGAGCAGCTGTCCAGCATGTGTGAGGCCCACAGGTCAAGTCCTAGCACCACTAGAAACACGCCACCTGCCTTCAGTCCATCTCAATGGAAATACCTCCCCACAGGCTGCCCTGAGCTAGAACACAACGCAAGGGAAAGGAAGCTTGCTTCCTCAAGGGAGACAGGAGCGCTTACTTTGACATAGTCCTTCAGGATGTAACGTGCAGATCGAGGCTGGTCTGGCTGTCCATGTGCTGTCATGAATCCTCGCATGCCTGTGAGAGAAACCAGCCGTGGGAAAGCTCAGTTAGGAGTCGGCACCAAGCAGGAAGGCCTGAGGTGATGTGCATCGGGTCCCTTCCCACAGCCCCATGAGAAATTAATTTCTTTTCACCGTGTAACATATTTTACCATCAACAACACCTGCTAACGCAGAGTGGCCTCTGCAGCTTATCTAGTATCTAATCACTTAGCACTCTGGCAGACACGTCCAGTTTCTCACAATTAGTTACTCCTTCTATCCCTGATCTTGGGCATTTACTCAGGGAGGCTACCTGCAGGAGAATACCATCTGCAAAACAAAAGGCAACCCAGGCAAACGTCCTAACTTCAGAACCACAGGTGCTTTTCAGCGTCCCAAACACACCAGGAAGCCTGCTCTAATTCTCACGTCACCAGTGGCAAGGTGAGAGAAGAGTACAGCTCTTTTGGCAGAAGTGCTGGGTTCAAAACTCAGCCCTGCACATACTAGCTATGCCGGCCTTTTCAATTTAGGAGAAAAGATTCAGAATCCTAATTCCTATCATACACACAAAACCCTAAATGCTGGTCTGGAGAGATGGCTCAGTGGTCAAGGGCATGCACTGCTCTTGCAGAGGACCCACGCTCAGGCCTTAGTCCCATGCCCAGTGTCTCACAGTGTCTGTAATCCCAGCTCCAGGGAATCCAACCTCACTCTTGACCATTTAGGGGGACTGCATTCATGTGCACAGACTCCTACAGAGACACGAGCGCCCCTCCCCGAAGAGGACCCAGTTCAATCCTCAGCACCCACATGGTGGTTGACAACTGTCTGTAACTCCTGTCCCAGAGCATCCACTGCCTCCTCAGACACCAGGCATACACACAACGCACAGACATACATGTAGGCAAAATAGTCATACACAGAAAATAAAATTCTAAAAAAATCTTAAAAAAAAGCAGACAGACAGATAGACAAAGTAGCTGAGTGTTGTGGCACACATCTTAAATCCCAGCACTCAGGCGGCAAAGGCAGGCGATCCATGAGTTCCAGGCTGGCCAGGGTTACACAGTGAGACTACCTCACACAGACAAAATCAAAGAAATACAAAGTGGGCACAGTAGTAAAGAGTGTGTGCTGCTACTACAGAGGACTCAAGGGAGCCAAGTTCGATTCCCAGCACCCGTTCTGAGTGGCTCCAATGCCTCTGACTATCACGGGCACCAGCACTCATGTACACATAACCTCATACATACACATACGTTAAAATAATACATCTTAAAAAGAAACACACAGTAAAATTAGAGGAACTTGGCAATGCCTTTAAAATTCACGGCCAGAGGCTTTCATCTACACAGAGCTCTGTGTGGGCAGTGGTCTGAGCAATTGTACACATGTGGTCATCTGTTCTTACAAACAGGAAGTACTGACTAGATCTGGATTATGAGATGAAAAGTAGTGGTACTTATGTCATTAGAATGAAACGGGGGATGCCTAGTGACCTGCTCCAGACTTCTATGAACACTCTGCCACAACCACAGACAACTCACATCCATAAGCCGTCAAGAGCTCTTCTGAGGTTGGAGGTCGGTAGGGGTCTTCATCTTCTCCAGGCTTTATAATGTTAATACCATAGGTAGCTTCCAAAACATGGCGTGGGATATTCTGGCAAACGTAAACTTGTCAAGGAATCTACTCTTGAACTGACTCTATGCTCCTACATCTATTTTGCTGCTTCTGACACATGGTCACCCTCTAAGCAGAATACAGTTACTTATGCACTTAAACAGTCTTACACACCAATGATCACCTTAAATGCATTCTTTAAAATAACAAGGCTGGGTGGTTATTTAACCCCATCACTCAGGAGGCAGAGGCAGGTGGATCTCTGTGAGTTCAAGGCCAGCCTGGCCTACAAAGGGAGCTCCAGGACACCAGAGCTACATAGAGAAACCCTGTCTCTAAATACAACAAAAACAAAATATCTCTGGGTCTAGAAAGATGACTCAGGGGTTAAGAACACTTGTCTCTCTTGCAGAGGACCAGGGCTCCATTCCCAGCACCTACAAAGCAGCTCACAACTGTCTGTAACTCCAGTTCCAAGGGATCCAATGCTCTCACCTGACCTTCAAGGGTACTAGGCATACAAGAGGTACACAGACATACATGCAGGCAAACACACACATAAAATAATATCAAAAAAAAATCTCTGAAACAGACCTTAACACTTTGAGGAACAATATTGTAAACAAACTCTAACTTTGAGAGACTATCTAACGGAGACGCAAAGGATCATGTCTTTGTTTCTAATGCCTACAGGTAAGCTAGACTAAGGCAACGCCCCCCAATCCAGACTGGCGCTGAGACAGGACGGATATTAGTGATATGGGGGGAACGTGATCTCTCATCTGGTCGATCGGGAGGATCCCATTGCAAATCATCTCTGCTTTCGTAGACACAAAGGATGGCATCACCAGGCCCGGGCAGTCACACAGGCAGAGGCCAGGCTCCACATACAGAGTCTGAAAGACACGTGACAGGTTGTGATGGGCACGTGGCAGGTGGGAGGGAAGAGGAGTACTACTGTGGCCAAGAACTCTGAAATACCTGGAAATGCTTGGTGTGGCCAGGTGTGGCAGACACAGACACTTTCTTGTTGCCCATGAGAGTGTTGATGGTCGAGCTCTTACCAACATTAGGGTAGCCCACCTAGAAAAGAACTGGAGGTTACCTGAGTGGTGGAAATGCTAGCCTGGCTGCTTGGAAAGCTGATTTAACAGGTGGTCTGTATGTCTGTTCCCTTTTTGTTCTTGGCTTCATCTATTCAGACTCATCTTGGACACATGATGCAGCTATATGAATTTTGTTTCTACGGACTTTGCTGTCACCCCTACAATAAGCCTCATCCCCTTTGCCTGCCCCACAATGTTCCATTTATAGGTATTTCACTGTTTCCACCAGATCTTTTACAAGGGGTGAAGCTGAGCTCAGACAAACAATAATCACAACTTCTGAACATCTAAAAACGTCAGTGCTTTTTAAGTCAGGGCCCAGGGAAACGTGGCAGGAGATGTAGAGTTGTTTGTAGAACAGTAAGTTAAGCTACTCTCAGGAGGATACCCCAAGTTAAGAATTCAGAAAGCAGTGGAGGCTACTTTATTTCTAGAACTCAAAGACACATGTAGAGAAACTGGGCTTTCTGATACACATGGAAATGAATTTTTGGCACAGAGAATAGAGCCTTAAATCTCAGAGGAATTAAGGAACTTTGTGTTCAGGTTAGTTCTACTGTGGAATTAGGAATTACACTATGCCTGCCTGACCCCAGAGGTAGGGCTTTAGCCAATACCTACTGTAAACATCATTTACTCCATCGTTTTTTTGTTTTTTGTTTTTTTGTTTTTTTTGGCTTTTCGAGACAGGGTTTCTCTGTAGCTTTGGAGCCTGTCCTGGAACTCACTCTGTAGACCAGGCTGGCCTCAAACTCACAGAGATCTGTCTGCCTCTGCCTCCCAAGTGCTGAGATTAAAGGCGTGTGCCACCACCGCCCGGCTTACTCCATCGTTTTTTAAATAAGACTTTAGTTTTATTTATGAATAAGGATGTTTTGCCTTCATTTATGTGTGCACCACATGCAGGCAATGCTCGGGGGCCAGAAAGGGTGTCAGATCCCTTGGAATTGGAATAATGACAGCTGGGAGCTGCCATGTGGGTCCTCTGCAAAAGCAGCTCTCAGCTGCTGAGTCTTCTCTTTAGACTCGACATTTTTTGTTTGTTTTGTTTTTCGAGACAGGGTTTCTCTGTGTTGTTTTGGTGCCTGTCCTAGATCACGCTCTGAAGACCAGGCTGGCCTCGAACTCAGAGATCTGCCTGGCTCTGCCTCCCGAGTGCTGAGATTAAAGGCATGCGCCGCCGCCACCACCACCCAGCTTAGACCCTACATTTTAAGTAGGCCTCCTGTTCTATTGTAGGTGGTGGGACACAGGAGAGAGAGAGAGGCTGAACACAGTTAGGATTAGTTACCCTAACTACCTGAAGAGCTGACAGGCTACCCCTGCTGCGACCGCCTTCCACTGTGTTGTTCCTGGAAAGATCTTTACTACAGATGCCTTCTCTAACCCCTTACTTGTCTTAAGCTAAGGATGGGCCCCCTAGAGCCATGCTGTAGCCCACAGCCATGCTGTATCCTTGGGGTGTGGGCAGTTCCACAGCCACCTTTAGAATTAGGCACTAGAGCTGGGATGCCATTTTGTTATGTTTATGCAATGACTGTTATCTGTCAGGGTTTTGGCCAGGACTGAGATTCTCCCTAAGGGCATGTGAAACAGTGTAAGCTGGTCAGAGGATGTCAACAGAACACCGCACTGAAGTCTGGCGGCAACACCAAAGACTTTCTTCTTCTCATCTCTCAGTAACTGACGTGACAAGGAACTGAACTGGAAGACCATTGGACACATTTCATATAAACATGTATGTAAACTATACAAACCCAGAGATCTTTCCTTTGAGTTGGACCCCGCCCCTCACACTGCATCCTCCCATGATGCCAGAGGACACCAAGAAGGAAGCACGTTCTCTAGGACGTCAGAAGCCTGACTATTGGGGGCATGTGTAGCTACGGAGGGACAGGACTGAAGACTCTCATGTGCAGTCAGCGCCATGATCTACTCCATCTTACCAGCCCGACAGTTAGCTGTCCATCTTTCACCTTCTTCCCAGTGTGGAGCTTCTTCAAGAGCTCCAGTAATTCCTGCTTAGACACCAGGTGGCTACAATTGTTCATGGGATGGCTTTCTGGAATTGTTCTGTTCTGAGCCTCAGAATCGACAGGACAATGTTCCTTCCAGTCCTGACCACAGTCCTCCTCCTCAGGGCTGCTGTCTTCTTCCGAACACGTCTGCCAGTCTTCCTCCTCCTCCTCCTCCTCCTCCTCCTGACAGTCCTCATACTCACTGTCGTCTTCGTCACTTGCCAACCCCTCACTAAGTGAGAGCAAATCTCTGCGTGGAGTTTCATTCTCATCCAAACTCGAGTTTTCAGACTCAGTTCTGCTGGCTTCTCCAGCAACCCCGTTGCCTTGGTCCTGAAGAAGTAACAGAAACGACAAATTTCAGACCTGTGAAACTGCTTTTCACTCAGTGGGTTGGTTATGGAGGGAGAACAGGAAATATGCTGGAGACAGGTATGTGGATCTGTCCAGGGCGAGCTGAGCCAGGGGCTTCTGCGTGTGAAGTAAGACTGTACCACTGAGTTATACTCCCAACCTTACTTTGCTTTTGTAATTGCCTTAAATAAGTCAAAAAGTACTATGGAGCAGACTCCTGTGTATGAAATTCAGGAGTAGCAAACTTCATTTTAGATTGGCTGTTATTATTATTAGTATGATAGATAGGGTCTTACTATGTAGACGAGGCTGGCCTTGAACTCACCAAGATTTTCCTGCCTCTGCTTGCCAGGTGTCCAAACCCCCGGCTGGCCAAGACTGGCATTTATTGGGGTCCTTACACTTGAAGGCGAGCACTTCAGGCCCTGAGCTATCTTCCAGCTCTAGACATTTCAATCTATCCGTGTGTGCCCTAGCAGACAACGCATGGACTGAACAGGTTCAACTAGGTTCCATCAACTTTAGTGTCAGTACAGAAGAAACAGAGAAGCACCAAGATGAGAGCCCCCCAAAATGGTGTGTATAAGATATCTGAAGGCAAAAATGAACCATCTGTATGGGAAAGAACCAAGACGACAAAGACTAAATTCTCAGATCAAAGATCAGGGAGCTAACTTCGCTTCGCTGAAGGGAAGAACTTCCGACGTCACAGGTTAAAAAGGAACGAGTTGCCTGGTCTCGAGGCAGTTGTCACTGCTGGAGTTTTGAGCCCAGGACCTTCTGCATGCTTGGCAAACATTGTTCTACAGAGTTACATCCTCAGCCCGAATTAGTCAGTGGGAGATAACGTGACCATCTGACAGGAAGTGGAGGAAGGGATTTCTTCTTTCAGTTGGAGCTCAGAGCTCAGTAAATTATGAACTCATCCAATGAAAGCACTGTAGTCACAGAACCTATCTTTTTTTAGACAGGGTCTCTCTGTGTGCTCTGGCTGTCACGGACTCTCTGCAGACCAGGATGGTCTCACACTCAGAGTGCACCTTCTGACTATGCTGGGATTAAAGGCGTTCCCCACCACACCCAGCCTGCACAGCACCTACATTAACACCATCAAAATCAAATGACTGATAAGAGATAAATGAGGAGGGTATTACTTCTAAGTGTCTTCTAAATATCAAAGATCCCACGACTAACTTTTTAAAGTTGTTTTAGTAAAATCTGGGTTAAAGATAAAATAGCATAATATATCTTTAATTCAAGTTTAGTTTGTTTTAAAAACAAACCTAGATCCTGATAAACTCTGACAAGCTACTACATCCTTCGGATGTACCGTGTGCACTGAGAAGTTTCTCTTAAAAGCAAATACAAAACCATTATGAAAATCCTTAAGGTCCCAGATGTGACACCAGGCATCTCTGATTATCTGAAATCACAAAGTAATAACTGTATGATTTGATTAAAGAGTCTAAATATTTTCTGTAGGCTATCCTACAATCACAGCAGTGGGGTAAGGGAAATCCCCAAACAAAAGTAACTCCTACAGATTGCCAATATAAACAAAGCACATTAACCAAAATTCAAAGCAATCCCCGAAATCCACCATGAGAAAGTCCCCCAGTCCCGGTTACCTTAGAGTGAATGGTTTCTGCCAAAGCTGACCAGAAAATAACCTTCACACCTTCATTTTCAAAGTGCGAGGCCCAGGCAAAGCGCTGCTCAGCAGTTAACAGGTCTGCTTTGTTTATCAGAATGACGTTCTCCTTATCGGCATCTATCTCCTTCACGTAACATTCCTGTAAAGATAAAGGCATTTCCAGTCTGTTCAAACAAGCAAGACAAATACTGGGTTAATTACACTGGAGCTTCCCAATTAAAATTTTTATGGCCTCCCCCATTTTAAATCACTTTCTCTCTCTCTCTCTCTCTCTCTCTCTCTCTCTCTCTCTCTCTCTCTCTCTCTCTCTCTCTCTCTCATGTTTTTCAAGACAAAGTTTCTTTGTGTAGCCCTGGCTGTCCTTGAACTCAGAGATCTGCCTGCCTCTGCAGAGAGGTCTCTATGAGTTCGAGATTAAAGGCGTGCACTCACTGCTGCTGCCACCATCACCACCAGGCTTAAGTCATTTTCCTTAAAAAATGATTTATTATTGTGTGTGCACAATGTGTGTACATGCACACACTCGTGACACAGCGTGTATGTAGAGGTCAACGAAGAACTGAGGAGTCGGTGCTCTTGGTCAGCCTTTATCTGGGGTCAAACTTAGGTGACCAAGTTTGTGCAGCAAAGTGCCTTTAGACTTGCTGAGCCACTTCAAAGGAGGCCCTTAAATCACTTTCTAATTTAAAAATTAGAAATTAAGATACATTCTACTAATTGATCCTTTCTGTGAGCTCTGAAAAGAACTTTAAAAGAGCCATTAAGATTTTTGTTACTCATGAGTTTAGAGAAACCACTACGGTCTTCAAATGCAAATATGTGCACCACACATAGGAGAGAGAGTTCATGGGTTCATGTATTACATCATTTTAAGTAATCCTTACACCTTAGTATTACTCTTATTTTATAAGTGTAGTTCATTTGTAAAATAGCATGGGTGTAATAAGATGTGAAAAGAGAGAACTTAGTGAGATGGATTAAAAAGTGCCTGGAATATCTTAAATAAAAGCAAACTGCCATCCTGACTTCTGTCTCCTGAAACAAGAGACCAGCAAATGGCTAGCAACAAAGTATCTTCCAACCCAGCAGCTAGAACAGGACATGCAAGTCTCTGTGCTCTCTACAGACAACCACCGCAGGAGCAGAGCTCTGTCTAAACAGCACATTACACAAGCTCCTGAGCTTGCAAGGAGCGGGAAGGCTGAGTAAACGAGCTAGAGAAGACAGGATGCGTGCTCAGTTACTGCTGTGAGGAATGCTGCCCTCTCCTTACTGTCCCAAGGATCCAAGTCAGACTTTACTTACCAAATCCTCACATCTAAACAGGAGTGGGTTTCGAGCATCTACTATCTGGACCACAATATCACTGGAGGAAGAAAGTGAGAAAATCCAGTTAGTGTAAAGTCGAAGTGACCACTCACTGACACACAGCACTTAGTACAGAACTCCCCACAGGTCAAAGTGCAGAGGGTAAGTGTCTGCGGAGTGCTCAGCCAGACAGTACATCTGCATCCCACTTCCTTCCTGCAATGCTCGAGGACCCTTAAGGAAGAGGGGCAGGAAGAATGTAAAGCCAGAAGGTGAGGACCAGGGTGAAGCAGGGTCTCCTGGATCCAGCAGGGCCAGTGCACGTATGAACTCAGCAGCCTAGCTGCCTGCACAAGACCTGAGCAAGATCAAGCCCGTCACCACTCCAGCTTGCAGTGGGACGGGGGCTCCTGAACTCTCCCCTACCGACACCTGAAGGCTTCGGGAGGGTCAGTTTCCTTTACGGCTGTGGCCCCTAGTTCATCCACCTTGCTCCAGTGGAGGTCCCCATACCCGTGAGTATACGGGGACACAAACTGGACTCAGTGGTTATAAAACAACAACAAAAACTCTGTATGTATGAAATTCTCAAATTAGAAAAACATTAAAAAAGGAACCACTGCCATATATTAATGGTAATAATAGGAAATACTTTGCATATATTAAGCAGTTGACATAGTCATTCGCAGTTTTTATGATGTATATTATAGTCATATAATCTGCCCAAAGTCAGCTAAGAAGTGATGAAGTCAGAATGGGTACCCAGGCAGTCTGGACCAGAGGCCATGCTCTTCAACATTCTACTGCTCTAATTGGCTTAGAGGGAGGGCTCGTATGACATTTCGCTGCTAAACCTTCCACTACAACTTCTGTTAACTTCAGGTCCTAAGAGTACCTGAACTACCCCAAGGTGAAGTTCACTAAGAACCCAGTCTGATCTGAATTCACACCAATCATCTACAGCGTCCACTCTAGTCAGTCCTGTATTGAAACCCAAGGCTGCCAAAGAGGAGAGCTGATGCCTAGCCAATCATCACCCACAGGTTCCCAGCATGTGTTTAAACAACAAAATACAACCAAGTGTCAGCTGAAGGCACCACAGTGAAGCAAGGATGTCAAGTCCACATGTAAGATGTCTGTCCTCATGTAGAATGTGACAGTAAGACAGCTTTCGATGCTGACAGACAGACAGCTCCTCCGGCTCAGCTAGATGTAGAAGGGACACAGAGGCCAGCATGCTGAACACTGCAGCGTTTTCCTCCTTAGAACACTTACTTCCTGTTTCTCAGAGGCCCCCTCCCTCCCTTCAGCCCCTGTGGCTAGGAAGATGGTCAGGGCATGTGGATACCACCGGAAAGAGATAAACTGCACACACAACATCCCTACAGCACCCTCACCAAACCCTGATTTGGCCAGCCAACTTTGTTTTCTGAGACAAAGGTCTCACTCTAAAGGCACAGACTTCACTATGCTGTTCTCAGACTCAGAGACCTGCTGCTCTTATCTCAAAAGTGCTGGGATTGAGACACGAGAGGGCTTAGATTTGCTAATTTTTAATAAACTGTTTTAAACTTCTCTAATTTAGCTAGTTTCAGTATCTCCTTCAGGGTGAACTCTACTTTCAAACCAAATTAATCTACATGACTGCAAAAACGAATAGCCTAAACCACAACAAGACAAACATTAGCTCTATCTACCAACACACAGAAGGATAAACAGCTTCAACTCAGCAGGGGGAAGACATTCGAGGCTAGCCTGTTGGAGGGAGGCATTTATTCAACAGTAACAGTGGGAATGCCGTACTAGAACAGAATGTTCTTTCTGCGTGCCTCAGCCCTTTCCTGCATTTCCTCCGTGTTATGTATCAAATCTTTTTTGATAACCACTGTTGAAATTAAAGAGACAGATGGCTCAGTCAACCTGTCGGCAAACAGGAGACATCTGCCATAGGGAAGCCATCAATAAAATATTTCCTATTAATGATGTGCCAGTAGTCACTTCACTAATATTTCTGGATTACTCGGGTCAATTTCTATGTGACACAAACCATATTGTGTGATTAAAACATATTGCTATATTAAGGAATGGGTTGGCAGGATGCCTCAGCCGGTAAAAGCTTGTTGTCAAGTCTGACAACTAAGTTAGACCCTGGGACCCACATGGTGTAGGACAGAACCAATTCTCACAAGTTATTCTCTGATTTCCACAAGTGTGCCAAAGCAGTCAATGTCCGCCCCCACCATGTGGATACTCATAAATGGTTAAATGTAGTGGAAAACTTTAAAAAGGAAATACAATAACAGTTCAGCAAGTAATACTGTACTCCAACTGAACCTCCAGTTTTTCACATGTACAGGCTCACTTTGGGGAACCCAGATGCTAACTTAGGGGCAGGAAAAGTAAATACAGTACAACTTGTTAGTCATGGAAGACTGACTATAGAGGTTGCTTCCGCCCCCACCCCCCAAACCTACAAGCACAAAGTAACAACCCTCATTAAAGAGTACAGCCACACGACATGCCTGGTCAGCGAGAAGGAAGACTGCTGGTGCCCCAGAGGCCCGGGAAAAGGGTCAAGCACAGAACTGCAGGGGTCTAACATAAGTTCCCAGGCTGCTCTGCTGTGTAGCTCGGCACCCAGCAGCATTCCTCGAGCCCAGCAGCAGAAGGCTGGGCTTACTGTGGATAAGAAGAACCTGAGCTCGGGCATGGGACAAGACGGGAAGGGAGGTGCTGTATGTAGAGGAGAGATTAAACACAGACTGACCTGTGAAGACGCCCAGCTCCTTTCCATCACACCACTCTGGAAATGCTTTTCCAATTTGGTGCAGCATATGTTTTAAGGTATGTTCTAATAATTTTCCAAATTTCATTGCTATCTGTCACAATGCTCCCCCGCCTTTGCCTCTAATTTTATGGATGATCTTCTTTCATTTGGTTTGGCAAAGAATTTGTTCATCTTTATCATTTTTCGAAGGATCATCTCTATTTCATTGATTTTTTTTCTGTTTCCATTTCATTAATTTCAGCCCTGATTTTAATTATTTCTTTTCATCTACTGATTTTCGGTTTGGTCTGCTCTTGTTTTTTCTAACTCTGTGAAGTGTATCTTTAAGCTATGAGTTTTGAGGGGGTTTATTTTTTTTGTCTTTTTTTTTGGGAGGGGGGGTTCGAGACAGGGTTTCTCCGTATAGTTTTGGTGCCTGGCCTGGATCTTGCTCTGTAGACCAGGCTGGCCTTGAACTCAGAGATCCGCCTGGCTCTGCCTCCCGAGTACTGGGATTAAAGGCGTGTGCCACCACCGCCTGGCTTTTTTTTTTTTTTTTTTTTGTCTTTTGAGGCAGGACTTGAAGGTGCTATGTAGCCAGAGATAAACCTGATATATATATTAATTTAAAGGCTGTACATGGTGGCACAGGCCTTTAATCCCAGGACTTGGGAGACTGAGACAGGCGGATCCCTGTGACTTCAAGTCCAGCCTGGTCCTACAACATTGAGTTCCAGGCCAGCCAGGGCTACAGAACGAGACCCTCTCTCAAAACAAGTAAGCAAAAAATAAGATTTTTAAAGTATGTAATTTGTGTGTGTTTATATAAGTGAGTATATATGCAGAACACATATGAAGGTCAGAAGGTAACTTTTGGGAACTACTTCTCTGCTTCCTGCCTCTATCTTTTGAGAGCCAAGATTATGGCAGGCACTACCATGCTGTGGTGGCTTAAGTAAGAATGACCCCCATAGGCTCACAGATTTGAATGCTTGGTCATCGGGGAGTGGCACTACTTGAGAGGGATTAGGAGGTGTGGCCTTGTGAGAGTGGGCGTGGCCTTGGAGGAAGTGTCACTGGGGGTAGGCTTTGGGTTTTCAAAAGCCCCAGCCAGTTCCAGTCTCTCCCTGCAGCGTGGAGGTCCAGATGTGGAACTCTCAGCTGTTTCTCTAGCTGCCTGTGTGGCACCATGTTCCCCACCATGATGAGACTGGCCTAAACCTCCAATCGAGAAGCAAGCCCCAATTAATGCTTTCTTAAGAGAGTTGCCATGGTTATGATGTCTCCCCACAGCAACAGAACACTGGCTAAGACACATGCCCAGTTTTATGTGGTACTGAGGATCAACCCAAGGGTTCGTGCATGACAGGCAAGCGCTCCTATCAATGGAGCTACAGCTTCAGATCCTACACAGAGTTCTTTTTCTTCTTCTTTTGAGACAGGGTCTCACTTTGTAGCTCTGGCTGACCTAGAGCTTGCTGTGTAGACCAGGCTGGGCCTGCCTCTGGAGAGCTGGGATTAAAGATATCATCACCACGGCCCCCTCCCCCAATTCCTTAATGGAGGCTTTTCCCATACCATAGACTTGGGTATGCTGTGTTTTCATTCCCACTCCTTTTTTCCTCTCTCTCTTTTTTTCTTTTACTTTAAGGAACACACAGGGGCTGGAATGATGAGTAAAGGTGCTTGTCATCAACCCTGAACACACGAGTTCACTTCTCTAGGTCCCACATGATGAAAGGAGAGCCGACTTCCTGAAGCTGATCTCTGACCACACATGCATGCGGCATACATGCACAATTAAATAAATGTAAAAAAAAATAACAACAACCAACCCTGACACGTGTTAAGGAAAGAGATAAAGATACTAACATCTTGGAGTCTTCCAAACAACTGATCCCTGCCCAGCCTCTCTACAGACAGGTTCACTACTAGGCAAACTATATCTGAACAGCTTTGTAGTACTTCATTCTCAAATGTGAATGGAAAACAAATGCCAGTCATTTCAGTTCAGCAGAAGCCAGGATAAACAGAGAAAGAGAACAAAACGAGAACCGTAGGTAAGCATGTAGATGGTGTCTTCCATCAAGGTCAACAGTGAGGTGCTGCAGACTCTGTGTCCACTTCTTCGGAAAAAGCAGCACACACCCTCAACTCTACGGAAGCTCTGAAGGACACATGTCCATTCTGCTCCGCCAAAGCTCCCCAGGGGAAGAGGACAGGATCTGCAAGCTCAGCAGAGCCTAAGACTTAGAGAAGCTTATGCAGAACCTGCCAGCAGCAGCACACTTCTACTGGGTGGGGGACAGTGGCTTTAAAAAGTCACCTGGGTTGGGCATGGTGGTGCCTGCCTTTAATCCCAGCACTTGGGAGGCAAAGGCAGGCGGATCTCTAAGGTCAAGGCCAGTCTGGTCTACAGAGTGAGTTCCAGAACAGCCAGGACTATATAGAGAAACCCTGTCCCCCAAACAAACACAGACAGACCTTGGTTGTCCTCAATCCTTATCAACCATGCCTCCTCTGCTACAGCCCCCATGGCTTTCTTTCTGTAATCACACTGCTCCTGGACTTTCACTAGGTGCCGTGTGCTCTGAGCTCAGGACTGCATTTCACTCCTCCGTGTGTCCCTGGAACTTGGCTGAGCAGTCTCTCCTCATAGCACACACCTCCGAAGCTGCGCTTTTCCATGCCTGCTTTCCAGGAGGACCTCAACAGTCAATGCACACTGGCTGAAGTAACCACAGGTGCTCCAGAACTCACCTTATGCAAACATTTACTTATTTATTTATTTACTTATTTTTATTTTATGTGTGCAAGTGTTTGGATGCCTGTATGCCTGTGCACAATGTATCTGCAATGTCTTGGAGGCCAGGAGAGGGTGTTGCTTCCCCCGGAACTGGAGTTAGAGACAGCTGTGAGCTGCCATGTGGTGCTGGGAACTTCTGTAAGTCCAACAAGAGCTCTTAAGTGTTGAGCCATCTCTCCAGCCCTATCTCTATTCTTACACACCTGTCAAACGTAGTCATCTAATAACACACACATACACATACATCTCCCCTGGTACTGAAGAATGAACCTAAAGTCTCACACATGCTAGATAAGTAAGTGTTCAACTACCTCCCCAGACCTAAAAAAAACCTACAATTTAAATGAAATAGAGTGTATTTTCAGGTTTCTTTTTAAAAAGAAGTGAGAAGAAAGACGTGTTAAATTATGTGCATGTGTCCATGTGAGTGTACACAGGCGCCATGGAGGCCAGAACCCTGGAACCTGAGCTGCAAGTAGCTGTGGGCCACCTAATGTGAGTGCCAGGAACCGAACGCGGGCCCTCTGCAAGAGTAGCAAAGCTGCTACTGCTCAGTCCTCTCTCTAGCCCTCTATTTTTAGCTTTTAATTTTTAAAAATTAATTTCTCTGAAAATGTCACCCATGCACATAATGCACTCTGATTATGTTCTCTCTCCCTCTCTTAGCTCTGTCCCAGCCTTGAATACCTCCCCCATCTTACTAGTCCCTTTCCCAGATTAGACTTTGGGTTTAGTTTTGTGACTGTTTATAGTTTAGTCAGGGCCGCTTTCTGTTTTTCATAGTTCTCAGTAGCTCATTGTGTAATTTAATCTCCCTCTTGCTGGATGCAGAGCCCAGAGCACATGTCAACATTAGGTTCAGTATCAACACTGCAATGTCTTCGTTAAACAAGGAAAACATTACTCACCTTCTCTCAATGACCCTCCAGAGCTGGCGCCAAAAGTCCAAATTTCGTTCAAAGGGAGTCAATATCAACTTTTGTTCCTCTTCTAGCCTGGCTTCAGAATGAGAAGGTTACATCTCTGCCTGATCATAATAGTATTAGAGAATTATAAGCACTCAAATTCATTACATTAAGAGGATATGTATATAAACACTGTATTTTGTTATTATTGTTTATGGTACTGGGGATTATGCCTAAGGTTTTGTGCATGTCAAGCAAGTGCTCTACCACTCACCACATCCAGCCCTCTTTTGACTTTTTTTTTTTGTAGCCTAGGCAGGCTGTGAGTAGCTTAAATTACAGGCCTATCTCACCAGACCAGGCTCTGTCCAATTATTTTAATATACCTACTGTTGAGTCAACACAAGAATAAAACCTAGTCATATTATACTCCACCAAATTCAAATTTTATCCTTACACAGCAAGAGTTTCTCTCTTACAACTCTTACTGGAAGACTGCTCAGAGGAGCACCTCTGGGAACTAAAAGGAACCAGACAGCTGGCTGAGGAGTTAAGAGCACTGGCTGCTCTCGCAGAGCACCCACATGGCAGCTTACAACCACTTGTAACTCCAGTTCCTGGGGAGACAATGTATGCACTTGGTGCACATACACCCTCACGCAAACACACACACACACACACACACACACACACACACACACACACACACACACACACAATGAATAATAAAAGACTAGAATGGAGCAGAATAACCACTGAGCACCTCTGCACAGCTGCACCTGCACCCAGAAATGCTGTTTATATACACACCAAAACACACCTGTAATGGATGCTACCACCCTCCCTCCCTCCCTCCCTCCACTTAAAACGGCATTTTAGTCATTTACTTTGTGTACATGTTTAGAGGCCAACAGACAACTTTTGGGAGTTGGTGCTTTAGGTCCTGAGAACTGAACTCAGATCATCAGGCTTGGCAGCAGGTGCTTCTACCAGCTGAGCTATCTCCCCAGCCTAGTATTTCCCTTTTCTTTTAAAAGGCTTCAGGAGGCAAATGGTAATGCAAGCTAAAATGCCTGGACCCAGTGTGTAGCTGGAGTTTTCCTGTGTCCTGCCTAGTCCTGTAGCTGCTCAGACCCAAATGAACACACAGAGCCTTATATCAATTACAAATTGCATGGCCATGGCCTATGGCTCAAGCTTCTTGCTAGCTAGTTCATATATCTTAAATTAACCCATTTCTATTAACCTATGTCTTGCCATGTGCTCCATGGCTTTACCTGTGTCCCATTACATGTTGTTCCCTGGATGGCGGGATGGCGACTCCTCTGCCTCTGCCTTTCTTCTTCCTGTCTCTCCTCGATTTCCCGCCTGCCTCTAAGCTGCCTTCCCATAGGCCAAATGGCTTTATCAATCAATCAGAGCAACACAGATCCACAGCATACAGAAAGACATCCCACCACACCAGCGCTTCCAGGCAGTCTTCAGGGTCCAATACCCACCGGACAAGCTGGCGTCTCCATTTTAGGAAGTTGTCTTTCTCTGCCTGTCTCAGCTCTTCAGGGCTCGTTTGTCTGTCCCAGTGTGGTCTGAAACAATCACAAAGGAAGAAATGTATACACAAGCTACCAAATTCAAAAGAGAATTCGGATGTAAGTGGCAGCTGAGATAGAAGCAGGACAATTATGAACAACTACGAATATATTATTCAGTGGCTATGTCTCTTTTACATTTTTTATTAATTTATTATTTTACACGTATGACTGTTTTGGCCTGCATGTATGTCTGTGCACCATGTGTGTGCCTGGTGCCTGCAGAGGATAGAAGAGGGCACCACATGCCCCAGAACTGGAGTTACAGACAGCTGTGAACTGCCATGTGGGTGCTGGGAATTGAACATGGTCCTTTAGAAGAGCAGGCAGCTCTTAACCACTGAGCCATCTCTCCAGCCTACTCTATGTCTTCTGATGATCTAAATTCTTGTTCAACTTACCTCCTTGGTATACACAAGAACTGTCTGTTTTCTTCATGGAGTTTCTTAATTCTCTGGCTCTCCTCAAAAGACAGCAGTCCAGTTCTAGCCTCAGGGAGCACAAACTTGATGTTAAGCTTCTCTGTTCACAGAAAGAAAAGTGCTCTTAGTCAAGGATGTACCTCAGTTGCTGCAGTGCCTGACTAATGAGCAGGAAGCCCTGTGTTCTACCCCTAGCACTGGATGACCGGCTGTAGTGGTACACACCTGCGATCCCAGCACTTGGGAGTGGAGGCAGGAGGATTAGGAGTTTGAGGCTAGCCTGGGATACATGAGATTCTGACTCAAAATCCAAAAACGGTAATTTAAAATACTGAATGTTGATCATTTTGATAAGCTTGAATACCAACCACTTCCTAAAACAGAATTTAAGCCTTCTTAGGTTGATTTTTAAATTAATTTTCTACACAGAAAAAGACATCTTCACTAAAACTTCCAAAAAAGCTAAGACTTCTTTGGGTACCATTTTACAAAATTCCACGTGAATGGATTTCCTGGTTACAGAAACAGTAACAATGGGGAAGGATTATAAAGATTCAGTATAACCAATTTCCTCATTTTACATATTAGTTTTTAGCTCATAGCAGTAGAGGCAAAGATTTAGCAAAAGACTTGTTCCATTTAGAACCAGTGAACTACCATAGTTATAATTTATACAAGATATATATTAATGGTCACCATTAGTGGCTGTATCAAAAAAAAAAAAAAAATCGAGGGATCCCGTGTGACTAGTAACAGAGAGATGTGTGCTCTAGAGCGCTAACCCTTGGGCTGCTGGGGCAGTTCCTGCTTCACGGCTCAGCCACCACCTAGACTGTCTGAGAACCCGAGAAGGCAGCTACACTTCCTCCTCAAGCGGCAGTGAAGGCGCAGTTTCAAAGCCCTGAGCAAGGACTGCAGCCTGCTACCCCATCAAACCATCACAGCACCAAGTAAGACCCCACAGCCTCGTAACCTACACCACTGTTAACCCACCAGGACTCTCACCCTATCAAGCCCACTAACAGCTAAGCACTCCCCATACCTGATGCTCCTGCGGTGTTAGCGTCTCTGTCCAATGGTGACTGGCCACTGTACCCCCACTTAGCTCCTTGATTCCTGCCCCTTCACTAATTCACTGGAAGTCCTTGCACATCCATCCATCCCTTATCCGCTGCTGAATTCCTCACACCACTGCACCCTGAACTCTACTGGCCTGTTGTTTCCCGTGTGTCATGAGAGGCACCCTGCTATAGGAAATGGCACCATACTACGGCTACGGCATGGCAAACGGCTAGGCTGAGGACTGCCCAGACCCCAGCCTTCCCATGGAAGGAGGAACTGCTCGAGCACTTGGTTAGCCTGCCCCAGTCCCTAAGTGGCAACTGTTCTGTCCTTCCCTTTCCTGAGGATAGCCTTGTCATCACCTAATGAAGGGGCAATGGAAGCTGCTGGACGCCAACCATTGCGCCACACGTCTCTAGATGTGCACCCACCTTCAGGACCCTTCGTTCACCTCAAAGGAAGCTGTAGCATGAATCTTAGAGAATCTTATTAATAAAATCAAACCCGGGGCCAGGTATTGGGGTGAAATGCTGGATGGTCAGAGAGACAGAACAAGCCACAGCTAACCTCACCTGGCCAACTTCTCGGCTGATCTTGTTTCCTCAGACTGGAAGCCTCTGTGTCCTCATATCCGAATGGCTCTCAGTTGAACTGCTGCTGCTAGAAGCCTGAAAGCTTAACCAGCCAAAATGCTTCTAGTTTCTGGTCCTCACGCCTTATAAACCTTTCTGCTTTCTACCATCACTCCCTGGGATTAAAGGCTCGCTTTCTGGGATTAAAGGTGTGTGTCACCATGCCTGGCCATTTCAATGTGGCCTTGAACTCACAGAGATCCAGAGGGATTTCTACCTCTGGAGTGCTAGGATTAAAGGTGTGAGTGCCACCATTTTCTAGCCTTTGTATCTTGTGGCTGTTCTGTCTCTGACCCCAGATAAGTTTATTAGGGTACACAATATTTTGGGGAACACAATACCACCACAGGAAGCTGTGCTCCTTCCCCTGCAGGACCTGACCTTTCCAACTGTTTCCAACCCCATTCTAGTCCCACCTCCTTATTCATCTGTTTTATGTTTGGAATGTAACTTTTAACTACACAATCGCAAAGTAAGCTCTCCTTGTAAACCTTCCTCTGATCCACCTCCAACCTTCTCTCTACCCCGGCCACTCCGAGTCTCTCCCTTGAATTAAACGTGTAGCCTTCAGAGTCTCTTTTTCTAATATTCACATGCATACACAGGTTGGTCACACACACCTCACATGTTTATTTATGGGGGGTGGGATTTGACACATGTGGAGGTCCGAAGACAACCTGATAGAGTTGGGTTTCTCCTTCTACCACGCGGGTCCTGGGGACCTAACACAGGGTGTGAGGGTTGGCAGAAATGCTTCATCCACCGAGGCCTATCCGCAGCCTGGTCAGGTAACATAGTCTTTTCATTTGACAACAGGCCTCGGAGAGCCTTTGTGTTAACACCTGGAGTTAACCCCTTCCTTCCAACTGCTGCTCAGTAGTTCAGCCTGTCTATACCAGAGCAGTGATCTCCCTGCTGATGGAGCATTCAGCACCCACACTTCCACAGTTAGATACACCACTTTCTGTACCCTTGTTACAAATGGAAATTCACTGGTCTAGACCTCACTTGCTGAATCAGAGTCTCCAGAGGAAGAGTGAGGAGTATGTTTATGAACAAGATCTCTGAGTAACTGCTGCCCAGTAACACGAGAATAACCCTCAGAGCATCACGGAGAAGCAGCTGGTTCACAGACGTACACTTCCAGCTTCTAATTCATCTTGCAAACCCAAAAGTCTTCTTTTCAGAGGGACAGGGTCTCACTAAGTAGACCTGGCTGTTCTAGACTCACTATGGAGACAAGCTGGCCCAATTCACAGAGAGTCACTCGCCTTACTGGGATAAAGGTGTGAGCTGTCTTCAATCCATAGGACATAATCCATGGTTCACTCTTTCTCATTCTTTCTCCCTCCCACCTAAACCCACACTGACATGGCCTGGCAAAGGGCACTAAGAGCCTTTTCAAATCCAGCTTTATGGAGGTAATCCACATTCAAACAGAAACCTCGGAGAGAAATGTTTATCCATTAGCACGTACTTCCCATTCCCTATTCTGTCTTTGTAAATATGCCTACTCTGGACTTTTCCTATAAATAGAACCATATGTTTTTATTCTTTCCTGGTGTTAGGCACTGAACTCAGGACTTTCCACATGCTTGGCAAGTGTTCCTCCACTGAATTATGTCTCCAGTTCAGAATGTTTTAAAAGGTCCTGAATGCTGTAGCCCCTATCAGAACTTCATTTTTTTTGTGGTCAAATACTCCATCGCATAGATGCGCCACATTTTGTTTATCTAATCATTAGCTAATGGAGAGCAAGGTGCTTCCACTTAATGGCAAATGATACAACTAAGAATATGCACGTACAAGTATTTATGTAGACATGTTTTTGGTTATCTTGTTATCTACCCAATAGGGAAACTGCTGGGTTATATGGCAATTTCATTCTAACCTTTTCAGAAACTGCCAACACAGCTTTTAAGGGAGCTGCACTATTTTGCAAATAATATATGAGGCTCCCATTTCTCCACAGTCTCACCAACATTTGTGTATCGGTCTCTGTAATGTCAGGAATGGCAGCGAGTGAGATAATGTGTCAGGGTGAAACCCAATAGTTTACTCTCAACTCCTTGCTCTTCACCAACTCTGCCAGCAGGCCTGGCTTATTCTTGCACCCAACATTCCTGTCCCTATTCCCTCCTCCAGATCTGACTTGCTTCTTTATGTGCCTAAGACATGTCTCCTAATTCATCCTTCTTCCTTAAAACCACCGGTCAGCTTTTAGAACACTGGACAGAAGTCTTGTACAGCAATTAGGGAAAACAGAAAAAAGGCTCCTCAAAAACAAAAAAAAAGCTAAATATAGGACCAAGGTGGCACGTGCTTGCAATGCCAGCGCTTAGGATGGTGAGGCAGGAGGATCACATGCTTGGGGTAAGACTGGGTTACACAACAAGACATGTCCTATGATGAGGACCATGCCTTTAAAATAAAAATAAAAATAAGGGCTGGAGATAGCCAGGCACAGACCTGGTGCAGAGATATACACAAAGGTAAAACACCCAGACACACCCACACCCACCCACCCTCCACACAGGAGGCTATGTAGAGGTTCTATACAAGTGCTCTGACATTTTATATAAGGGAATTAAGAACCTGTGCAATGGGGGTGGGGCGGGGCGAGTATGCTGTAACTATTTCTACAATTGTATTGTACTGAGGAACAAACTATATACATGTACAAAAGAGCATTTCTCACCCTTAAAAGACAAGAAAATCTCGACATCTGTAATGATGTGGACGAATACTACACTAGTGGAAATAAGCCAGGCAACAGTGACCTCACTAGTACGTACAATTGAAAAGGTGGAGCATGTAGAAGCAGGGAGTGATGGTGTTACGAGGAAGACACAGGAAAAAGGCCATCAAAGTGCCAAGTTTAATGAGGCAGGAGGAGTTCTAGACAACTAACGGTCAGCATGGTGACCTCACCTAGGAATAGTGTATTGTCCACTTGAAATCTACCAAGAGAGTAGACTTATCTTACCACACGCAAAAGAACTACGCACACTGATGGATCTGTCAATTAGCTTGGAAGTCACTGCCCATATACTGTGTGTGCATATTAAGACATATTGTGCACCACAACTATATAAAGCTAGGAGGTAGGGAGCATGACTACCCCCGAAAAAGAAAATCAAAAACCCCCAAATCAAAACAAACATCCCCCTGAGACGCACTCACAAAACACAACAGAAAATGACATCTGAAACCATGCCATTACTTGCCTAAAAACCTGTAAAGGAACCTTTCACCGTCTGTCCATTTCTGCCCCTCCCCCCCCCCCCCCCCCCCCCCCCCCCCCACGCCTCCCCGCCCCGTCTTCTCCTTTTAAAGACAAGGTCTCACTATGTAGTCCTGAGTAATCTGGAACTCAGTATGTAGACCAGGCTAGCCTCAAACTCACTGACGTCCTGCTGCCTCTGCATTCTGGGGTGAAAGGCGTGTGCTATCACACTTGGCCTTTCCTTAAACTTATCCTCCCTGGAATCTGGCCCTTGCCCACCCCCCAGTGTCTGTGCCTATTACAGCTTGTCCCCTGCACCAGCAAAACCAAACTTGTAACAATTTTCTGAACAAAGCAGACTGCTATTTCATATCTTGTCTAGATGCCTCTGCCTATCTGTTTGACTTTTGCTTGGAGACAGGGTTTTATTATGTAGCCAAAGCTGGGAATTTACTATTTGTAGCCCAGGCTGGCCTCAAACTTGGGGAAATACTCCTACCTTAGCTCGCCCAAGTGCTGGGATGACAAATGTGCACCACTAGGAATGGCTATCTCCTGTTCTATTACCTGCTCATCCATCTTCTGTCAGATAGAATGTGTTATAAGCTCCATTTTTTACCGCCCATTGTTTTCTATAGACTTCTTTCAAAATGTATAAAAGAACATTTTAAAGAAATACAATTTATCTTCTAATATTATTCTGAGTAGCCAGCACAATGTTTGAGAATGTGCTAAACATAGGCATTTTGAACAAATGAATGAATGACTCGCTAAGCAGCATGCCATTCACAATAGTAAAGAAGTAACTTATAATGCTATTTGTCAGTTGTTGTCCTAAGTGCTTAGAAAAACACACACACACACACACACACACACACACACACACACACACACACACACACACACACACACGAGTAGGGACTAAGTACAGGTACCAGAGAGCAGCAAGGGTATGTTTTGAGACTGATGTGATGATGTACAACCTGAAGTAGTTTTTGTTGTTATGGAGACAGGGTCTTACTATGTAACCTTGGCTGACCTGGAATTCATAGAGATCCAGCTACTTCTGCCTCCAGAGCTCTGGGATTAAACGCATGAGCCACCACACCTAGCATCTGAAGTGTTCTTTAGAGCTGAATTTAAAGACCAGTGTGGACTTTACCTTACCCCCATGGAACTTTCCCATAGTGCTCTTGGATTAAAGACAGCCTATTCATATGAAGTGAGCAAGACGGCAGTAACCAGTGTCGCAAGCACTAGGTAATAAATCACTTACCAGCTACGAACTCAGTCCCTGCAAGTTCTGCAGTTGCAAGGAAGTCCTCAAGGGAGCTCTGTTCCGTCACTGACTGAAGATTAAGGCGGCCCCAGTCGTAGCCATCATTGAGTTCACTCGTGTGCAACTACAAACAAAACACAGCAGAAAGACTGAGGCATCTCCTCTGCTCCTGGCATCCTATCGGCTCTAAACTTTGCTGGTACTGGTCTATGTCCTTCCTCAAGGTGCTTTGAGGCTTCTCAAATGTACACTACTAATACTAACACTAGTTAGGCTGGGGGCATAGCTCAGCAGAATACTTGCCCTTTGCTGTCAATGGCATCAATATCCAGCAATGCAAAAACCCTAGATCAAATATTTAAATGAACACTTTCTTACCTCAGCAAGGGCACCTCCCTTCCATCATTCAATTTCATTTTTAGACTCTTCTGAAGTGAATTGTATTGTGTCTTCACTTTACTACTTAGGAAACTGAGGTTTAAGCAGGTAAAATAATTCGGCTGTAGTTGCAAACTAGGTAGACAGGCAGAAGTAGAACCCAGACTATCTTGACTCTGCCAGCCAGCTAGCTAAAAAGTTTCCACTGGGATGTATGAGAAAGACTGTTTTAAAGCCAGGTGTGGTGATACATGCTGTGATCACAGAAGCAGAGAGCACAGAGACCACAGGTCTCAGGGCCATCCTGAACTGTATAGACATCTATTCCCCACTTCTCCTTAGTCTCCTCCACCCCAAACCCCCAAGGGGTAGAAGACTGGACTGGCCGGGATGACCATTAAAAAAGATTTAGCTGCAAACTACTAAGTTGATTTTCTCATACAACCCAGAGTTTGATAAATACCATCCTGCTATATGCTTACTTATAGGTACAAACACAGTTTTAAAAAGAAATTAAAACAAAAGCTTAGAATTAATGACAGTCAGAATACAGATTAGAATTTTTTTTTTTACACTTAAATTCAACCACTCCGACTATTTCCCAAAGGCTACTACAACAGTAAGTCCCCACCAAATCAGTTAGCTGACCAATAGTCAAATGTCCAGACTTGAATACCGAGAAGCATGTGTATATTCCTCAGGCCATCTGGTTGGTTGGAAAATGGGACAGTGTGACCGACATGCAGTCACATGAGCACCAAGGACAAACAACTTCAGCACAAGATCTTAATGAGAACTCGGAATTTTCTCAACTATTCTAGAGAATAAAAGTGACAACTAGAACAATTTAAAAAAAAAAAAAAACCACTTTTTTTTTTTTTTTAAAGACAGGAGCCATGGTGGGCCTTTCACTCATTATGAAGACCAGGCTGGCCTTAAACTCATAGAGGTCTGCTTGCCTCTGCCTCCTGAGTGCTGCGATTAAAGTAATCTCTATACTTCATCTACTTGTTAAGGCTCCTACTACGATCCTCCTCAGGCTCCTAGAGACAACGTTCATTCCTTGAGCTAAACCCCAAAGAGGAAACACAGGGAAAGCAGGGATCGGAGTTATTTGTTTTTCTGATGGAACCAACCACTTCTAGAGAATCCATTCTCTGGATAATTAAAATCGGAAAGTTTAAAAGATCTATCCAAGCGTGGTGGCCATGGCTTGTAATCCCAGTACCCTGCCGGCAGAGGCAGGAGGAAGATAGTCCTGGGCCAACCGTGGCTGCATACGGAAGCTCGTTCAAAAAAAATTTAAGATAACAAAATTATTTTCCTTTAGACATTTCCAAGAGCGCCCACGGCTTCTAGAGTAAAGATCAAACACAGGCAAACATGCCGACATGAAAGGCTATACACGTTTTCAGTCCCACCTCACCACACACTAGTCCGGTTTTAAAGCCTCTCTCCCTCTGTGCCCCGCGCCTTGCTGGGACTCGCTTCGAAATCCTGCTCAGGTGTGACTTGCTCCAACTTTTGTAGCATGGAGGCGCTCAGAACGAGACGGAAAGGCTATGGATGGTAAGGATTTCCTTACCCAGGAGTCGGTATGACGTTGGCTGCGGCTTCGCTGAGTCTGATGCCGGATAAGTACCCGGCCCAGAGACCCGCTACCCGGCGCTCTCCTCCGGCCCATAACAACTCCACAGCGGTACGAACCTCCTCTTCTCAGCGCGTGAGGCTTCCGGTTTCCCCGGCTCTGAATCAGGAAGTGACGTATGAGCGAGTCCAACTGGTTCAGGGCCGAAGTTGAGCTGGGGGGATGGAAATACTCGTTTCGAATGCTCTTGGTAGATCTGGAGCTTGAAAATATTATAGAGAAGAGATGTGGAAATTGTTCTGGGGACTTCCTTATAGCTATTCCTGCGACTGTCTCAATTTTGGATAGACTGACCTACTTTTAAGAGAATGGTACATTCCAGACTTGTACGTCAGTGTTTAAAGTTCGGCGGGAAACTGGGACAACTGGAAAATACGACCGCTCAGGTTCACAGGACTCACTCCACCTTCCCTGCTGCTTTCGTCAAGAGGAGGCGGGGACTCGGGTGTAGGATGCCTCTGTGGCTCTAGGTGGCAGGAGGTTCCAGTTTCTGGGTTTTCGCCTAGCAATTAAATCGGTTTTTGTTTTCCTAGTATTCTATAGCTGTGAGGCGGGGACAAAAGTTCCCACCTGGGTGAGATTTTGAAATGAGCAGTTGAAAAGCTCATTTCCAGAACTTGAAAGATGAAAACGAAAGCCGACCGCGTCGCTCTTCTGCTTTATGAAGAGCAAAAATGTTTACCCGTTCCAGTAAGCGTTGTCTCAATATTTTTCTATAATTAAAATTAAAGCGAAAATAGTTAGCTGGATCCACTAATAGATATTTAGTGGCCTCTACCAATCGTCAGCTTTCCTTATAATGTGAATATAAAGTTTAAGCCAGGCATGGTGATGCACACCTTATATCCCAGCACGTGGGAGGCTGAGGCTGGCAAATCTCTACATACACAGAGCGAGCTCCAGGACAGTTGGGGCCCACACAGTGAGACCCTGTCTAAAAAAAAGAAAAACAGCCGGCTGTGTTGGCTCACGCCTCTACTCGAGAAGTAGAGGCAGGCGGATCTCGGTGAGTTCACGGCCAGCCTGGTGTACAAAGCTATGCAGAGAAACCCTGTCTCGAACTACCCCACCCCAACCCCAAATCAGCTTATAACCATGTGTGTGCTGGACAACATTCTCATTACTAGGGAGACCACTACAATGTGCTGCTCAGACAAGGAAACAGTTTGCACCGGCTATAGATCAAAGACATGCAGTGTCAGGGATCAAACTCAAGTCTTGTTGCTTTTCCATACATATTGAGAGGACTGAAGGTTAACATGTATTGTAGAAGTCATAGGAGCAAGATAACTCATTGAGTTAACTTGCTTGACTAAGACATGTATAACATTAAAATATGACCATATTTATCAGTTAAAATAATTAAGAGAAATCATAAAAGTCAAGAGGCCACCTGCTCTAGTACTTTTCCAACTTTGATGTACACAGAAATCTCCTTAATAGGTTGACTGATTCATAAGATCTGGTCAGGGTCTCTGTTTCCAACAAGTTTCTAGGTAACAAGGATGGGGAAGGCCCACAGATCACTCTTTAGGTAGCAAGAGTAGTCCTTTCTTTTCTGGTGCAGATGAAGACACTGTAGTGAACTAACCAGAGGTCATTCATCGCAAGTTAGCAGCAGGCAGAATTGGGACCACACCACTCACCCACTTCTGACTCTTCGTCACATCCTTTTTGTGTGCTGCACCTCCAGTAGACTCTTGCTTGATTGGAGTGAACTTTGGGGAGCTGACAAACCCAGTAGTGGTTTGAAACACTTTGGGAAAGGCAGTGCTAACAGACCAGAGAAGGAATGCTTTCTCTGAGAAGAACATGATTTCTCCATTTCCCAACTTAGAATCATGACTGTAAAATCTCTGAACACAATCTCCAGGAAGAAGATAGGGAGAAGATACCCGGCTAGAATTAGAGAGAGCTTCTTGTTAAAGAGAACCATAACTCAAGGAAATGAAAAGGATTCTGCATTTTAATATGCATAGTGTAGAGAAAATGGTCATCTCATTCCTAGAGTTCAGCCAATAACTCAAGGCTTCACCATAGTTTCCTTTTCCAGGGCTTTTGAAAAAGCAAACACTCTTGTTTTTGTTTGTTTGTTTATTTTAAGACAGATTCATACTTCATAATCTAGGTTAGTCTCAAACTCAAGATCTTCTTCCGGTTCCTGCTTCCCAAGTGATTGGAATTGTTAGCACTTACTGTTAGGTCCAGCCACTTTGCGTTTCTAACGTCACTTATATTTTTGGTTGTAAGCCTAGCCTTTTAACAGCTGAACACTCTCTCCAGCCCTAATGCCACTCTTCTAAAGACTCTGAAATATCTAAATAAACCAATGTGAAAATTTCATCAAGATTGGTTGGGGAATGTCAAAAGAGCATCAGCATTGTAAGATTAGTTAGCAGCAACTATTCCAAGCCAACAGGTAAGAAAGCACAACCTATTCTAAAATGTTCCCCCAACACAATACTCAGAAAAATCATTCTCAGTTTTCTTATCTGGTAAACAGGAATAAGAATGGTCATCCTGTCTTTAATGTAGTGCATGCCTTTAATCCCAGCATTCAGGAGGCAGAGAGAGAGAGAGAGAGAGAGAGAGAGAGAGAGAGAGAGAGAGAGAGAGAGAGAGAGAGAGAGAACAGCTTGGTCAGCATGGAGAACACCAGACCAGCCAGGACTACTACATCGTTAAGACCCAGTCTCAAAACAAAACAAACAGAATGGTGGTCATAATTTTTGTCCTTCAAATATAGCAAATAAAATAATTCTGCAAGATCATTGTCCAGTAGTTTGTGGAGATACCAGTTTGGCACAGCTGAATTAACAACCTTCCCCGCCTTCCCCCGCCACACACACACACACACACACACACACACACACACACACACAGCCCAACTGAGCAATATATGTGAGAACCCAGCTAGATAATTGTTCTAGGGGCAAGGGCAAAGAGGTAAGTAATTGAGGGTGCTGATGAGGCAAGGGCATAGGACCCAGATTCGAGAGAACAAAGTGTGAGTGTGAGAGGAGAGATGATGGTGATGAAGGATTGAACAAGGTGCTGGCTGCTGCCAGAAGGAGGGGGTTGCAATGATGAATCAGCCCAGGTCCCTGCCCTCTGACCGCAGGAGCGATTCCACCCACACACCACTGGGAACAGCACAGCCCAGCCAAATTCCCCACCATCGCTTTGTCATGCCACCGGAAATGCTCATCTACCAGACTTCCATCTGGAGACTTGATAGATCCTCCCAATTCCCAGAGCCCAAGCCCTTCCATGGAAACCAGGATTTTCTGAGAGGCTGATTCCCGGAGAAGGCTGCATCGATTTGGGGCTGGAAGCCTGGACCTACCTCCCAAATAGCAGCCCAGGGAGGGAGTGCTCCTCGTTCACGGTGTTGCATAACAGGTGATTTACCTTGCCTGAACAAATGCAGTTACAAGCACTGATACTCACACCCAGGAACAAATCTTGGAATAGCTTTCAGCAATCCAGCTCCACACTGCTGAGCTCCTGGGTTTCACATCTGTCGGGGGAGGGAGAAGGGAAGCAGATTGGCTTGTATTTTAGTCTTATCACTCCTTTGCCCAAAAATGTGTCAGTGGCTGACATTTTCCCAAGGTAAGCATGGAGCCCCATCCTTCCATCCCTCACTTTCTACACATCTTATTCAGGAAGAGCAGAGCAGTTTGCGTAAGCCTGAGAGTTGTGAAAATTAAAGGAATCTGGCCATCTTTTCGGAGTATCAGTGGATCAACAGGGGAACTCCCTCCTATTATCTGTCATTCCCAGTTCATCTTTGTTGGAAATGGGTGGGTTCTCGCACGCCATGAGTTTAAATAATTTCGCAGACTTTTATTGGTGGCTATTATTAATGATTGAGCCATTGCAATTAAACATTGATTACCTGCTTGTGTAAGTTGTACGAGCAAGGAAAAGTATCAAGAGGCTCTTGTTTTAATTATATCTGCTATACTATATATGTATATAGCATATATAGCATACAGCAGCTATAGGATCCTATGTGAATTGTATATATATGCCTATGGATCTAAAAAATAACTTAAAACTTTTATTGTTAGTGTGTGGGGGTGGTGCGCACATGCATGCGTGTGCCACGGCACTCCTGTGGTGCGTAGAGGACAACTTTGTGGAGTAACTTTTTTCCTTTCCCCTTTACAAAACTTCTGAGGACTGAACTCAGGCCACCAAATATGCAGCAAACGCCTTTACCTCCTGAACCACTTTGCCAGCCCTTACACCTATGAGTTTTTTTTTTTTTTTTTAAAAACCAACTCTTACATGTGAAGTATCTATGATCTTCCTCACAAATGACTTTAAAATTGACTTTTCCCAGCCGGGCGGTGGTGGCGCACACCTTTAATCCCAGCACTCGGGAGGCAGAGCCAGGCGGATCTCTGTGAGTTCGAGGCCAGCCTGGGCTACCAAGCGAGTCCCAGGAAAGGCGCAAAGCTACACAGAGAAACCCTGTCTCGAAAAACAAAAAAAAAAAAATTGACTTTTCCCTTCACAATAGTCAAGTAAGAAAGGACATCACTATTGTTCTGCACCTAAAAGCTGCAGAAATTGTAGAAAAGTTTAATCAAAGTTAAGCGATCTAGATACAGGTTTAGTAATCACCAAATCAACAATTTACAGCTAGAAAATGCTAGGTTGTTTCCACTCAGCCACTTATTTCCTCTGTCAGTTCATTGATCACTGGCCTCTGGAGAGTCAGCCTTGGGCAAGCTCCTGGCTAAATGAGTGTACATTTTAGTGGCAGTCATCCAGCTTTAAATAGCTCAAATCAGCAATGGAGCCACGAACTGAACCATCAGGTAGGTCCTATTCCGCCAAGAGGGCCCCCTACAGACCAGCACTTTCTTTTTGTCTCTATGCCGTCCCCTCTTAAATCCCCCTAAACATCCTATCCTGGACGACGATACAGATCTATGTTGTAGGACAGCACAGTGAGGGCACGCAGGAGCCATTTCTATTTATGGCCATTTCTATTCATAAAGACAGGAAAGAAGATGTTTCTAAGTGGACGCTAGACCAACAGCACTAACATACACGGTAGGAACCAGAGCCACAGTTTGAGATTTAAATTGGTCTGACCTTTCTTTCCGTCCGTGACTCAAAGATGGCAAGCGCAGATTTGGAAGGTAGCGTGCTCCCTGCCACAGGGAGTATTTGAGCAAAGGCTAGCCAGGTATCAGGCTAGATAACCAAGTGTCAGGGTGTTTGTGCTCAAGTCTGTGCACCAGAGTGGGTGATGTTAGTGGCCCCTGAGGTGCTCAGCAGCCTCCTAACCCT